CAAAGCACACACACATTTGTCATATCCCTGGACTACATAAGTTAAATTGTGGAAGTTGAACTCAAACCTAATTGACAGTAACTGTAGCTTTATCTAACGCATTTGTCTTAAAAAATGCAATATACTGTTTGAATATCTTAAATAATTCGGGTTTCTTATTTTGATATTTTATATGATACCTGAGTTTAGTATTTAGTCCACCAGAGCACTTATCAGTTTTTTCTTGACCTAGTACCTGGATATCTTTATTGTCTCTTTTATTTGCCTACACAACCTTTGACTTTAACCTCTTCTCATTTTGTTATAGTGTAATTTTGCCTGGCTAGATTTTACTGTTTTGGGTTGTGACTCATCATACTGTTATGAAGCTTATTAGTCATTTACTGAAGAAATAACACAAGTAGTTCGGGTTAGGCCAAGGATTGATAGCAGGTAGAGAACCATTGAAAACCAGGGAGTACTGGACAGCTGTTTCATCCTAGTTTCGGACTAATCGCCAGGACGCACCCACCACTAAGGGTTCGAAATCAGGAGTTTCCGCGTATAAAGCAAGCTAGTATACCATCCAGAGACTGGAAACGATTAAACGGCCCAAGAATTCCAACTCCTGTCAATAACTAAGGTCAGTACGACAACCAACCAGTGTAATCGGCGGGGACTCTATTCTCGCTACCGAATCGACGGACCACACTCGTCACGAATTCTCACTAGAACTTCAGGGAGCTTCGTCCTGTAGCCACTTGCTAGCCAGCGTCAGATTAATTTTGAAGAATTAGCTTGTAGTTCAGTGGAAAGGCTCTTTTCGGCCAATTCGTTTTCTTTAGCTATACAATCTAGCTTATAAACAGAGTTTTTCGCATAGTATTGTAATAAAAGTGATGAGTTGCCATAATTATAGTTGTTAATATTAATGCATACATGACAGGAGCTGGATGAAGTTGAAAGAAATACTCACTGAGATAAGCATTTTAGTAAATGAGTTGTATTCACGGTCGTATTCGCTGAAAACAGCCTTTTCTCTGAACTTCTTTGTAGTACTTCACTTTCCCAATCGAAAATAAGGCTTCAAGCTGGAACTTTGAGGTTTCGGTAGTAATGGTATTTTTTATTTTTACGAAATGGGGTTGCTGGCCTCAAGCCCGACCTTGCCTCTTTACTAGTCTTATTATTGGCTTAGCGAGGTTAAGGAGTGGAGCAGTCGGGGATCGAAACCCGGAACCACCTGAGTGGTTTAATACATAAAAGGAGCCGAATAATATTAATCAAATAAGGCATAATTATATTTCAATGGTTTACACACAGTTAATTAATATTAATACTAACAACTGTGATTATGACAAATCATCAGTTAGTCATCAGCTTTTTCTTGACCTAGTACCTGGATATCTTTATTGTCTCTTTTATTTGACTACACAACCTTTGACTCTGACCTCTTCTCATTTTGTTATAGTGTAATTTTGCTTGGCTAGATTTGACTGTTTTGGGTTGTGACTCATCATACTGTTATGCAACTTACCAGTCATTTATTGAAAAAATAGCACAAATATTTCAAATGACGAAATATACACATTTGATCATAGAGGATAATTAAAAGACACTTGTAACGAAGAAAATTTTCTTTACGACGAAGTCATCCACTAGGCTGTACATTCGTGTATTTATAATACATGAGTGGGAAAGTTCCAGGATAATTTCTGGTCAAGGGTCAGATTAATAAAATTACAATTAGGAATTCAAATGCCATAACAAATAAGGGGAGGAATAAAAACTCAAACAAAGTAGCATCATAATTACTGAGAAGATTGATATATTGTGCTGTTAGGGGCAGGATATATTCAAATTATAAAATGAGACAAGATTTTTGGTTAGAAAAAATCTAGTGGGATCATAACTGGCGTGACGAATAAATGTTTTTATCGGTCTCCCTGTTTGTTATGTCATTAGAATTCCTAACTGTAATTTTATTAATTTAACCCCTGACCAGAAATTATCCTGGAGCTTTCCCACTCATGTATTATAAATACACGAATGTACAGCCTAGTGGATGACTTCGTCGAAAAGAAAATTTTCTTCGATACAAGTGTCTTTTAATTATCCTCTATGATCAAATGTGTATATTCCCTGATTAGAACCTTAAGATCATTAATTAGAAAAAGTCACCGTGGTTCCCTATTTGAATGCCATTAAGAGAAAAATGCATGGAACAAAGGATGATTGTTTCAAAGATTTGAAATAAAGCATCTGTCCAGTTAACAATCCCATTGAAGTTTTAGAAAATTGAAAGAGCGGTAATCTTATGTGACCTTGGTGGCGCGTTCGGTCAGTTCGTTGAACTCCGTCAACTATGTCTATCGATTCTCAGGGTAATGAAGTCGGGTAACTTACTATGAATAATGTTTTTATTCACCTTACCAGAAAACTTTTTGTCGGAGGGCTTCACCAGTCAACAACTAATGGTATGACACTTGTTATTCTAATTGATGCCTGTAGACTCCCTCAAATTATACTTTTCGAAGTTTGGTGATATTGAAGAGTCGACTGTAATGATGGACAACAAGACAGGTCGATCACGAGGCTTTGGATATGTTAAGTTTAAGAATGATGAATCTGTAGATTGGGTCTTAAGACAAAAACCCCACTTGATTGACCTTAAGGAAGTTGATCCGAAAAGATGCAATGTTAATATGAAAGGCAAAGTAAATAATATTTCACTATTTATTCAGTGCTTAGAATCGTCGAAGTCTCAAGGTTTTCGTGGGAGGAATTGCCTTTGATCATGATGAAAACATAATTAGGAACTTTTTTTCCAGCTATGGAAGGGTTTGTTCTAACGTCCCTGATCTACTAATTAACAGGTTACTGACGTCAACTTACTTGCTGGTCAAACCAAGCAGCGACATAGAGGTACTCTTTCTAATAAATTTATGTATGGTCAATAGGTTTTGCATTTGTTGGATTCGAAGATGAAGAAGTGGTTAAAAATCTCATCAGACTGCACTACTTAAATTTGAATGGAAAACAAGTAAGTCACCGTGGTTTAATCCTAAAATTGTTTAGGTTGAAATAAAAGCGATGAAACCTCCAAACACTCAGAAACCTGAATACCAGACTTCCCCAAATGTGACTACTGCTGTGCAAGGCAATGGACGGCCTGTTCGCGGTCAGAAAAAGCAGTATGGTCCACCTCAGTCCAATGGTTCCTGTAAGTTTTTCACTTGACATTATATGAACTGCTGGAGCACTTGAGTGTAACCGTGGTTTCTAAAGGTGAATTTGAATATTATGACCTATCGTTAATGAGATGTGAGCCATGTGGTTTCATAAGAAAAGACAGCTCGTATGCGCACCAGACGTCTTTACGCCTGTCTGTCTGACTCCGTGTAATCGAAAATGAAAACATTCCGTTAGGATCAATGTATTATAGTGGGGAAAACACCCTGTGTTGTAATATCTTAATCAGTTGCATTTCTGTTAAAGATGTATTTGTCTCCATCTGCTCTGCTTGTTTAACCACTTTTGAAATTCCAGAATGTTTTGTCGACAAGTTCCTCCTACTAGTGTGTCACGTATGCTCTTCATACTAAATAGGCTACTAATATGTTTCAGGTGCCTCAAGCAAAATATTCAGTCAGCTGTAGAAACAGTGTAAGAAGTGTTGAGAAAGCTAAAACTATATTTTAGAAAGTGCCAGTGGATTTCTGACAGTTCATCCGGAATAACTAATGCTAAAAGATCGATTCCGGCGGGCTCCAAACACCATGCGAAGCGAAAGTTGCTCAAACGCAAACTGGCCAAGAGTCCTCTCAAGTGATGAGAGCAGCGATAGGCAACAAAATCAAAATAAGTAAATAAATCGGAGCCGGCGATAGAGAAGGCTAAACAACTACTCGGGCCTATTAGAGAAAATGCTAGTGATAAGTGGAGCAATCTCCGAGGAAAACGCCTCCCAGGAGAGGAGACTTGGACGTTGGTAGGGTCGTTTTGAGTAGCAGTTTCAAGTGACCTACAATCACTCTCAACTTGTCAATATCTAGTACCTACCTGAATGGGATGTGGACATCGGTCCTCTATCTGCATTTGCAATTGTAAGGGTTGTCCCTAATTTGAGACGAGGCATGTCTCGAATATATTTCCTGGTTGTATGGAAGAAAAGAATTCAGCTGTGGTACTTTTCAACTATTGTTGGTAGATAGGACTAAAAATGTTAATGAGATTGGTAACAACAAACAATTTTAGGTAGTTAAAAGTTTTCAATACTCATAACATTATAAATAGTAGTAATAATAACAGTAGTAATAACAATAATATTAATATTAATAGTCGTATGAATAGTAACAGTAGTTGTTTTTTTCTATCAAGAACGCTAATGATCATCAACTGTTCTATTTTTTGCAAAAAGTGATAATATATTTGCTAACCAATTGAATACTTTTCACTAAAATTGATTCCTTTTTTTAAAAAATATTTCGATGTAACAGCAGTATAATTGAAAATAGCAATGCAACAGCTAATTTGATGGTTATTCATTTTACATTATGCCAAATAAAATGATCTATGCAAAAAGGTATTAATGTGTATTTGTGTGCAAAAGAGAAAAAAAAACGGAGATGTTTGTGTGCATATTTATATGCATGTATGCATGTGTGTGTGTACACATAGAAAGTAAATTTGGAAGCTCTGGTGGAATAAAAAAGGGGAAACGTCGAGTGAATAGTACAGCAATCACTGATGTATATATATATATATATATATATATATATATCAATAGAACTGACTGATTAATTGACTGACTATCTGAAATTATAGAAGTACCGGATCAGTCCGAATTCAGTTTCTAAAGTTTGTGATTACATATATAAATTGAAAGAATAATAGAAATATGGGAATATTTTTGCAGCAAATCAATAAATAAGGAAATAAATAAGCACAACCGTTGTTTATTGTTTCCGATTTTCGCTTCAATTGTTTGTCTCTTTTAAAACTGTTTTCCGATTGGTTTTCTATTGCTCTACATCAGAGGGTTTTCGTTGTAGAAAGTTATCTCTGTTACGTGGTTTTGGTTGTTGGGTATCTAGAAGTAGAATAAAAGTGACTGTTGATTAGACTGGTTAGCTAGAAGGTATTTCCAAGTTAAAAATGAATGAAGTCGGGAGAAATTCTGCGTAGCACGACATTTTGTCATTAGTTTGTGGGCTTCTGATATACATCTTTTAACAATTAATATTTTCTTTCACTTTTCAATAGCATACAAATGAATAAGGTAGATTTTTTGACACATTGAATCATTTTAGAGTCTATGAGTCATGGACTGCTGATTCACCCTAAATTTACACCTTTCCACTCTTTTTCCAGGCTTAAACCCAACGCCTCATTATTTCCAACTTCTGTTGGTTAACGAAATAGCATCACCGCTATTCAGTAGCAGCAATTAGCAAATATCTTCACCCTCCCCCGCTCCTCACACACACACACACCTGGTCAGCAGTACCAGTTTCGACTCTGTTTCAAGACTTGACGAAAATAATCTCGCTTATTTACTAATGAACAGCAGTTCAACGCTTTATCAAATTCTAATAGAACCACCAGTTGAATATAAACAGATATAGATATTCATAAGAAGTTAACGTTAACTACTTGCACAGTTCACGCTCGGCAAACAAGCAAGGTATTTGTCAAAAGATACGATTTTCGAGTCCTTAAATTTGCTTTATTTTGGACAATTATGTATTTGGTTTGTATTTTGCAGTAGGAAGTAGTTGTTCCGTCAGTCTTGAAGTCAGTTTTGCCAAAAAATATCAAACTTTATTATTCACTTCGTCCTCACTTTTGTTTTTCTAACAGACTAAAAGTTTTATTTATTTGTTTGTGACGAAACCTACATTGGAATGATTGACATCTTCAAAAATACGTGAAAAACTGTTTCGTGGCATGTTTTTCTTCGATAATATCCCATTCGTCCCTTTTTTTAATTAAACTAAGGATAAATGTTTTGTTTAACTACCTCCTGCTTTTTGAATGTAATCACTAATCGCATGGTGGCATGTATATTATTAATTCCAATAGGTTGCCGACGTTCATCAACCGCTAGCTACATTACCACGATACTGAAGATAAGATGGATGGCCGGAAAGGACAAGCAGCAAGGAATTTTGGTAGCCAACTAAGAACATATTATCCAGTAAATATGCTGAAAGAAATGAAGATAGACTGGATATACGCCGAGGTGACTTCCACTCGAAAAGCAAAGAACGGATAATAACGATAATCCTATAGTGGGATCAGTGTGCTTTGAGCGCATATTATTGGTTTAATATATACTGTGTCGATGTACCGGACTTCACGCTGTATACAATCCCAGTGAAAATAAATATTTCGGCATTTAAGTAGTTTGTATATCTGTTTATATGTGATAAGCTTGTGCTCACACCGCTTGATAGTGATAAAAAACAAGACATTTTTGCACACATACATTTGTGCTACTCGTGAGTAGTATATACGTCTATCGAAAGCATATGAAATGACTAGAAAAATAATGAGCTACCAAAATCATCCTATTTCAAACTAATAAAATGAATCAAATCCAGTATATCTTTATGTCAGGTGAAAAGAAAATTTACCTGTAAGTATATCATCAACCATTGGATGTGAGACAGTTTGAAGCGGATTACCTGAAGACCTTTCTGAGAATGATCTTTGTGTACTCTGTCTGGCAGAAGAATAAGGCTGATTATGCTCGACAGGTGTTTCAGCTAATTGACCTACACTTCCTGAACAACTTCTGGGATCACTTTTATTGATACCACCGGATGAAGAACGCTTTAAGATCATTAAATAATAAAACAGAACAAGATAACACATGGCAGATAATAATTCAGCACTTATTTTCAGGTAGTTGAAATTCTTAAATCGTAATATAAACTTCCGTTATATTAGCTGTCAAAAATTTATATATACATATGTATAGACTTAATATTATGTGGGTGCGTCGGCACCACAGTGAAAGCAAAGAAGGATTAAAAAGAACATTTCATTGAAGTGATTAATCTGTACCGAGATGAGAGTGTTATACATAAAATCAAAGGGACTAGTAAGAATTATTCGCATATTGCGGAGCAGGATTTGTTGAGTCTTCATACACATAAGAGAAACACTGTTTCAATCGTAAATTGTTGCGAGAATACATTTGCGTCTAAGTTATCCTCTCACTGTCGAACATTACTCATCTAATGTAGAACTCTGTCCTCTAAAGGAAAATGTCTTACAACAAATCCATTCAGTAGAGATATGTAGTAATTACTTATAATTCATAATAATTAATTAGATATATCCATTTTCAATTTCAAAACACTAGTCAGTGAAGAAGGAATATTCTTTTTGATAACTTTTTCTTCATTTCATGCAGTTATGTAACCATCACATCTAAGGGAGAATTGCTGTTCACGAGACTAGTATTAGGTAAGTGGGAAGGGGAAGTCTTTTGATGACTGTATGAAGCCACATCGACTGAGTAGGTCTGGACATAGGATACCTATGCCAAATAATCGCCTTTCTCGTCGAGCAATATTGAGCAACATAGGATTAGGTTGGAAAAGAGTTAAGGATAGCCGAATAAAAGCATAGCACCAATCCGTGAAGTATTTCACCGTCGGTTTGAGTCGTGTAGGAACATGCAAATTTCCTGCTTGAATGAGGTTTTTGAGGTGATTAGAATCAATGGCTGAAGACTGCTGGTAACGTGGCTGAAAATCATTCTCTCAAAGGTTCAGATGCATCTACTCTTTTTCTAGAACGCCGTATTATATTATAATGACTTTCACTGATGAGATCCTAACAAAATATACAAGTTGGAGTGAAAATACCAGGGAGGCAGGAAGATTTAAGTGACAAGTTCCAAGTAGGACGAAACGCAAGTCCTCCGTTTCACTGCTAGCCACCATCAACAGAATAATATGACTTTGGTATCTATCTTAGGAGACAATATACCATCAGTAAGTGGTTAGTTAGGTCGATTGAAGCAAATAATAGGAAATCACAAGATTTTGAATTAGACACTCTAACAAATTCAAATACGTAGGATTTTAGTTTTCCTCATGCTTCAAAGTTGAGGAAACTCACTAACTGAATCTTAATGATGATTCATTTTGACTTCTGAAAAAATAAGAGTAATTAGGGAATAAGCGTGTGCACAGGTTGATTACGTAACAGGTCGTCAGAGAAAATAAAACGATTTGTACAATGATAACTTGTAACTAAGGTTGAATTGGTCATAAGAATAAAATAATTTTTACTAAGACACCATGTAATAAAGATGAAGTAGTCGGAGAAATAATAAAATAATTTGGACACTTATAATTTTATAAGTTTTAAAGGTTTAAAGGTCAGTTAATTATCACCCCATTGACGTGTTGACACAGACTAATGATTTTTTTTTGATTTACAGCTTGATTCCACACTGTATTTTTGGTACAAGTATGGAATTTTCAGCATGGATATCGGTAGCCCAAATTTTGCAGGCCGACCATAGATATCAGGTGTGCGCCGGCGTGAGCTCAAACCCCGGACCATGTGCATGGTCGGCGAGATTCCTAACCACTGTGCCACCGACGCACTTCTATGAGAAGTGAGTCGTCCGTAGAAGAAATTTCTTCCCTAAAACAGTTCGATGAATTTTTCCAGCAAACTAAACTTAACTTTTATATGAACAAGGAAGGACTGAGAAGATTACACAATCAAAATGGATTGAATCAAGAGTTTATTAATTGACACAAGTTTGGAAAATATTTACGACTCATTCAATCAGTATGTGCATAGACAACTTCTAAAAATATCTCGACACTCAAGCATGCTTTCATAGTCTGAAAATGTTAATGAGACCTAGTCGTTAAAGTAGTGCGTTTAGTTCCACGTACTCTTTCGGTCAACAAACTCATCCAGTTCGCTGACTGGTTACCTTAGGTGTTAGGCGAAGAAGAAAGCGGACGGATCTTCTGACTGTTAAGCTGTCCACAGAAAGCAAGCAGAAATTATCGGATGTTCTGAGTTACCATATCTCATATTGTTACGCCACACAGACAGCAACGAAAGGGGAAATGTAGAAAATGCACAGGTAAGCAACATGTTATGTTAGTAAGAAATAAAAAAGAGACAGAAGAGGTAACTACTGTTACTTCTAAACCACACGATTTAGTGTATATTCATTACTTTTGGTTGTCATGTGGATCTTGGTCAGACAACACACGCTATCCAACACGCCTCAATCTAGTAATGAATGGATTAATGGGTTTGTATCACGTTTTGGCTGTAGCCACAATTTCCTTTCTCATACCTGATTGTAATTGCACTGATATAAAACTTTGAAGGATGTTGTGGATAGACATAAATGGCGGGTGTTCCAGTCAACTTAATCGACGTAGATGTACAGGTTTACTGATTTTCTTACCTGACTTACTTAGGTTTCTACACCTAATCTTTACACTAGTTGTCCGTTATAATTCTATGGGAATTCGGAAATAGTGGTCAAATAATTGGGATCATCTCAGATTTGTCTTGGATGGACATATTTTAAGTTCGCCGAATAAGGAAGGTCTATCTATGGCGGGGGTACTTGACCCATGGGGTTACTAAGCAGAAGTGATTTTTTTAATACCTCTGAGACTTTTTGAGCAGTTATTAAGTAGGTGTTATCCGGTGGAAATACTATTTTATTTTGAAGAAAATGAGAGCGACTATAGGTTTTTTGTGAGCATCTCATCACATCACCATTCAACAATCACCTTAGTCTGACACTGGTGTGTAACTAAATTTAAGAGTTTGGAAAAGACTGACTTATTTACAATAGTCTTACCTGTCGCAAGCTTATTTGGTTTTCATTACCTGCCCTCCCAACCACATATTCGCCTATCGGATGTGTGTTGGACAGCGGAATAGCGTCAGACACAGAACTACCACTTACAAGAAACTGACGCAGGCGTTGCAGCTGTTGTTCCAGTTGCCGGTTGTGTTCTTCAAGCATTACCATCCTCGCTTCTAAACGACCTTTATGTTCCCACAATAATCGGGATTCCTGATGGGCTTCATTGGCTACGCCACCGACCATTACTGCTTCATTCATATGTCCTGAATATTTATGCGACGCACCACGCATTTCAGAACCATATTGGTCGACAGTGTAGCCAAGATCGTTAAAGGAACTATTTACTCGTCCAAAATTCGCACCAGGTACATTCTGGGTTGATGAAGGAACGATGCTGAAAGAAATATAACAAACAAAAAAAATACATGCATTAACAGCCATACAATTTTGTTAAAAAGTCATAACCTTTCGAGCTTTTAAAGTTAAGAATTAACAGCCCCGTTAGTTTCTAACATTAACCAATTAGTATTTAAAAAATAGTTTTTCAACCTGAGTTATTTAACCGTAAAATCACTACAAAATCTTCAGAAATACATTGATGTCACCCGTTTGCAGATAGAAACAGAGAAGCACAAAGTGTAGAGAGTTTTTGAAAAATACCTACTAGCCTCTAGCTCTCTGCTTTTCAACGGCATCCCTGATGATGACTACTTGCGTCCAATATGTAGGTTATTTTCTGAAAAAGGTGATATTAAACTACGTCTTTCAGTAATATACTCGTATGATAAAGTCTGTTAGAAATTCAATCATTCACTTCAGACAGAATTAAACTCAGCCTACTAAAAAATGAATTGTAGTGGAGAGGTTTCATCAGTAAATAGAGTATTTTCTCAATAGGTAGGGTGGAAATTAAGTGGGTTTAGAGATTTTAATAATTCGAAAATAGTTTTATTGGGCATCTTTGATCGTTTCACTAGGTACTTTGAAATTACGCAATACTCCAGACAATAATCCTATTTTCACTGGTTTAAACATGCCAAGTTAAAAAAAGATTTACCCCAGAATAAATAAACAAACTTTAAACGTACCCTGAATACAATTGACCAGATGAGAAGTGACCACTACTCATAGATAATGTTCTACATGGTGAATTAGTTGGGGTTATAGTTCTGTGTATACTGCTATTTACACGTCCTGTTTCTGTTGGTTGATAAGGTTGAGGATAGAGTAACAGATTTGGATTTGGTATTCTGGCACTGGCACTACCACGTTGCTGGGCATATTGTATACGATTCATTGTACCATACGAAGCTGATATATTAGTAGGCGTTATAGACTTCTGTCTGAGACGATCATATTCATACTGCAAAGCTCGATGTTCATCTTCCAGTGATCGAACAGTCTAAAAGCATTTTTTTTTCAGAAAAATTGAAAAACAGAACATAAATGTGGATGTATTGCAAATATTTACTCTGAAACGGAATAACTGTTTGATAGAAAGTGCCTAGTTTTCAAAATATCATCTTCTAGTTAACTAAAACCATGCTGTTAAAGTGTTTGGGTGAGAGATTTCATCATTCACGCCATACATGGTATCCAGATTTATTAGTAAATAAGTAATACGCAGTAATAACCACTTTACCAAAGAAATAGTAGTCACTGTTGAGCATGTTACAGCATTTATGGTTCCTTGAGAATTTTTCCTATGGTGGGTCTTTTAATATGACAAGTGGATTGCACACTTTATATAGCCGGTTAATATGCAGAGCTGAACAGTGTGAAACTGATTGTCTCAGATAAACCTATGAATGTATTTTCACGGTCTTCATACAAGCTCTAAGGAATAAAATACGAAGGATTATTTTTTTTATTACATCTATTAAGTTTTATAGGTGTCATTTTACTTATATTATCATTGAGACTTTAGCCCTTAACATTTTTAGCTGCTCATAACGCTCTTATGGTTAATGTTCTAGCATCTAATCGACTAAAACTGTGTAGTGAAGATAACTGATTACTCTACGCTATTTGTGAGCAAATATTAGAATGGGAAAGTGATTACTATAACAACTAGTAGGGTTGACCAGTGTGGGATAGAGCAATTATAACAGTAACAGCTGGTGACTGTAAGTAATGTACTCATATGGTTTCTATACTGAACAACAACAAAACAGAGAATAAATATTCACATGGCTTAACAGCTTATTTAAACGGTATAGTACAATGGGAAAATAGACAGTTAGTGGACACTTATTGTTATATGCATCCTATAACCCAGTGAATATTTTTTTGTTCAATGGCTGACAGTCCTACCTCAAAAAGAGAAACACAGTGAAATATACAACCTTTGGTACATGAATTTTACCTGTTGTATCTGTCCATAAGGTTGTTGCTGATGTTGAATCGCGTAGTTTGTATGGTAGGCTGGTGATCTACAAAGCATATTTGTGCTTCCTACAGGTCTCCACATAGCTTCTTGAATTTCAGGTGGAGGTTGTGATCTTGCTCTCAGAGAGAATGTACGCTGAATATGACGTGTATTATAAACATCTGTATTACCATCTGGATATAGAGAAGTTTGGTAAGGTCCTTGATGCAAATAACTAGTTGGACCGTACTGGTTATCCATACGTGAAGCATTATTTAAAGCTCGCGCTGTCCATCCAGAAAAGGAACCACGTAGTGCAGGATTGCCTATTCCTATTTGAGGGAGGCCTATTCCACGATCGGCCTGTCTTCGATCTAAACTTAGGTGTCCACTAATAAATGGTTGTATAGGCTCTGGTTCCATTCCAGGAACATTACTTGATACACCATCTGATATTGTAGATCTTTCCATCAGCATCGGCCCGGTAGAGCAAGACATTGATTGAAGCACGGATGCATGTTGTTCATGAGGCTATAAGAACATGTGAAATGGAATTAAGAAAGTCAAGTCAACAACGATGATGCAGTAAAAAAATTTGAGAGTTCCCTAATCATGCTACTGATTATTATTCAGTAACGAGGCTCATTAACAACCTATCTCTTGTCCCTATTGAATTCTCGATAGAAAGTCTGTACTTTCTTCCGAAAATAGCCCACAAGAGTCATTTTCACTTGAAAATATCAGAAATTGGTTCACTAGGCTTATCAACCACTAGCTCTTGATATATAACAGGTCAAACAGAAGTAACAGTAAAGTGAGAGAATAAATGAGTCTTCATTATATGTAGGGTCTTCAAACTCTGTTTTTTATTATCTTACGGTTCAAAGCTAGACATATTACACTTTTTACGTAATTCGTGCGTACTATTGTTCGATTCATTGGTTATTTTAACTCTTTTAACTCTCAGAATTCTACCAATTTAATCTCAAGCTGACTAACAGCTTACATATAGGTTGTCAAAGACTTTCAAACAGCACTGGTGGAGGTTCATCATTTCACTAACTGACGTTTCTCTTTTACATAAGACTTCGTATATGTACGCAGCAGTTTAATTTATATTATACTGGGAAATAACAAGTGTGAATAACATGCTTCAGCTACTAAAAGACACAATACAAAGTTTTAGGCTATGAACTTTAAATATGTAGTGAATACCACTAGCTTCTTAAGTGATAATCCAGTTTTTCTGATGGCAATAATATAGGTAGGTAATCTCGTATAGTGAGTGACCTAAGTGTGTCTTCCATTATTACTAATCCTTATCGGGAGTTTAAAATAAGATATCATTTATTACCTTTTGCGATTTAGAATTCTCTGTATCTTCATCACTGAACTCAAAACTTTCCAGCCTGAAATTACTGTGCAAACTTTCAATATTCAAAAGTGTCTACTTACATAAGACTCAAATAGACACTGTTTAATGAACACCACAGTCAAGATGGTTTTCATTCTAGTGAACAAATCAGTCAAACAGAAATAAGTGGTATCCTGAATCTTGAAGTGGATGGCTAAAATTAGTGTGCAATCATTTCATCTATGGATTACCTATACAAGGTAGACTTTTGTTATTACTATAATGAAATGAACGAGAAACCTGCCTAATTAGTGTGGTAATCACTGGAATAAAACGAATGCGAACCACCTCTGACTATGAAAGGAGTTCAGTATTGATAGAATAGTTAAAGTAGGCAGATGAAAATCAACGTACATCAACCATTTTGGCAAAAAACCCAATCAAAAAGCTGTGGTGACCGGACTATCAAGAAAAGCTTCACAACTAAACTTCTAAGTGTCCAGTAGTCATTCCTATATGAAAAAAGTGCTATTTTTTTAAAATCAAAAGTTTCCTTGCTTTGCCAACAAGCAGGCCAGTCGCTTTGGACAAATGCATTAGGATTATCTCGTGTCCTTCTGCGAACAAGTCATCTATGAATATCAAGTGAAAGTAAAGTCTATGTCGTTCAGCATCGATGACTCAGCAACAATAGTGAAAGAATGATCTTAAGGTTATAGCAAAAGTAACTAGTGTTTAGAAGTTTGTGGAGAATATTTAAGAATATTGAAAAAACTAATTTTAATAATAATTTGACTAGAATTACTCTACAGTCAAAGCAGCCATTGGTATTCCGATTTTTGCATATGATATACAAGAGTGAAGAAAACATTTAATTTAGTTAAAACACTAAATTACTTTCCGAAGAAAGAAAACGTGAAGAAATACGAATTCATCATGAGTAATTTGATAATTCCATCCACTTTCACCATATTCACCACCCCTGAAGGATAACATTATAGTGGATGCGGTGAAAATCACTGTTTTCAAGGTGTTCACTACCTGTAATGTGCAGACTACTAAAGATTACTAGGTCTTTCTTTTTTTTTTCACTAGCGTTATACAGTACATATCGACTATTCTATACACCATTTTCGAAACTCATAAATATAATTTTTTTAAAAGCATTTAAACGAGAATATCCTTACCAATTCAGGTTCACTGTGTTGCCTTAATTCTTGACTGTAACGTGCAATTAACTTATGTTCCTCCTCATTATCACCCTGATATTGATTTGTCCGTTCAGCAGTAGGACCATAGTGATAATTTGCTTCATTTTTTAATCTTGAGCCTAAATTTGGTGGTTGTGGTGAAGGGGTTGTAGTAAACAAATTTGCATTTATATTGTTCTGTCTAGCCATTGTAGACTGAGTATCGGAAGCTGCACGTGGTGGCATTGAATACTGAGTTGATGGCATAGCTAAGTTAGATAGTGGTCTACACGTCTGTGAAAAGTGTTGACCTTGACTGCTCTCATTATTACTATCGGCTGTCTCTTTGGTGTGATGATTTTCAAATGATTGTGTGTTTGATTCAGGACTATGATAGGCGTATTGCTTTTCGGCACTGGTTGGAGTGTCTAAATTTTGATATTCTGCAAAGTCAGAGAATGGGCCTTGACTGTACATTGGTGCTGGACGAGGTTTGCTGTTAATAAAAATGAAATAAAGAAATGACTTTGCATAGAGTTTACCGAAGCTGCTGTTGTATTCAGACTCTGGTAAACAAACCAGTGGTCAACGAATTCTTGCCTAGTAATACATGTTGGCTAATTACTCGGTGGAGTCATTACGTTTGGAAATAATTCGTAGTTAAAATACAGGTAACTGGGAAATAATAAATATTTGTAAGATATTGCCAAATGACTCTTAGGTGCATAATAATGGTATTATAGCTTACAGTCATTCGTTTTAAGCCTGTTTGGGCCTATCCACATTGAGCTGGGCTGCTTTGCTTGCTGCCTATATGTACTATAGTAGCTGTATCATAATCTGTGTTAAGAGTTTGACTTGAGTTATACCAGTCTCCTAGCTCATAACTAAAATTGTAGATGGCCTACAACATTCTTGATATGAGAACTAAGTCTGAAATTAAACGATATCGTGCTAAACTGTTCAAATACGTTAAATTAAACGTGTTCAAATGCTTGTTCACTCATAATCATATATCTTTTAAATGACTTATCAGTACACCAATTACTGTCAATCTTCATATGACAGCAAATTCATTTGATTTCGTAGATGCTAGCTTGCTCATTAGAGCCTTGATTTGCTTTCCAAATCTTGCTTATAGTGGTGTGATGGTTTAATCATGTAAGCGGGATGAGTTAAATTAGGCCTATCGATGCAGTGTATGACCAACCGATTGACATGATCACTGAACAGAGTAGCCATGCTTGCTGCTGGTGTGAATGGTCCAACGGCACCCAAGTGGTTGCTCCACAGGGTAATACTGTCTTTAGTTCGAATGTTACGAAGTGCTGAGTGTTTTCGGTTCTCCTGGAAACCAAAGAATCCAGTCAGTGGGTAAATCACTGTGTGAATATACTGGCTGATTCTGCCAATAGACAACGCTTCTCCCAGAGATTAAGTCAGGCATATCTAAGTACATAACTTGGAAAGCTGAAAGTGAGAATGGCTTATTAAATCAGCTGTGATATCTTTGATCAAATGGACAGTTGTAGTAATTCTACACTTAATAAATGAATTTGTACACAAATATATGTGGGAACACATTCACTTATTTGAACAGAACAAACCCTAGGGAGTTTCGGCTGTCTCTGCTACGCCCTGTGATAAATCTAGATAACTTTGCAGCCGGCGATCGGTTTTGTATCGGTGACGGATCTCCCTGTCCTATCAATTTATTCTCTACCATGATAACAACTGCTAACGAGAAATCAAGGTCCGATTCCGGAGAAGGAGCCGGAGAAAAGGCTACCACATCCAACGACATCAGTAGACACGAAAATTACTCACTCCCGATATGAGTAGCCAGTGAAGAAAGATATGAATACGGAACTCATTTGAGGGTCCATCGTCTGAATGAGTGAAATTTAAATCCTTTGACGTGGACCAATGGGAGGCAAACTTTGGCGACTCTAGCTCCAAAAGTGGATGCTGAAGTTATTTCAGTTCAAAAGCTCGTGGCTGTATTTGGATTGTGTGATCAGATGCTATCTCTTGTTTATGGTTTTGGCTACCCCCGGGATTTGTGTTCGGCTGCATGTAGTGGCTATGCAACCTATAAGTCTTTAGGTTCCGAAGGAAGTAGGGTTACAAAGCTGAAACTTAAAGGACAGAGTGAAAGGTCTTCCTTGACTGAAATGACACTTGATTGGCAGGCATCCATTTACTATCTCTTTATTAAGAAAGTAATAGTAGTCAGTTATGAGTCAGAATTATTTTGAACTACACGGCAAATCGTTTCATTTCAAAATCTTAAGAAATCTTTTAGAACATTTTAACAAACCAAACACAGGCTTTTTTATCCTTTCAACGTAAATTTTGTGAATTAAAATGCAAATTTATTGTATAGCCATGCATAAGTCAATGTTAAATTCAGTGAACCTAATCTAAATTACAAGTACTCAGAGTATGTATCTGATGTTAAACGATGTGAAAACCTATTTAGATCCAAAAAAGAGTAAAATAACATTCTAAATGTCTCTTGATTGATACGAATTTTTACAGATAGCCCACCATCTGACAGCCATAGAAAACAAAATAAAGCTTCTATCATTAATGTCAGTAAAAAAATTTGAGCACTGTGGAATAGATCATTAATAAAAGATCAAATTAATTAATAATACTGTTGTTAAAATTATTACTGAAACATACTCTTCATCGAAACTACTCAGACTGTGACGTTTACATCGTGTCCGACTTGTGCTAGACCGACGAACTTTTTGACCATTTGAATTTAATTTGCGACCTTCTGCCTCTTCATTCAACCGATCTCTGGATCGAAAACGATTTCTCACAATCCTTGTAAAATCACGAAATGAGTCTGTTGAAGTAGACTATGACACATGAGCGATAATTTTTTTTTCCCAGCCGATAGCATCAACATCGAGTGCAAATAAATAAATACAAATCAAATACAACAAATGAACTATAAAACAGGACGTTTTTCAAGTAATACAAAAATAAAAATTATAAACACTGGGGAAGATAAATTTTTTATTTTATTTTAACAGACAATTGGTATAGTGAATTATTCAAATAATCTATAACAGCAAATCAGAATTACGGTATGCACTGTTATCTGCTTCCATTTACGCCTTCCATTTGCTGCAAAAAGGCGAGATGAGTGAAGGGAACCAGTTGTAAAGATGAACAGACATTACTAGACACTATATTGGATTAGATCTCAAGTTATCTAGTTTTGTATATATATGGATAACAACTGAAAGCAATCAGTCACGTTTGGATTTGTCCGCTGTCGATGTTTTTGGACAAATTAGACCTTGTTGGTTGACAACCACTTCGAACGTACGATCTAACGACAAGAAGTTGATAGTTTAAACGAATGGTATATAACTTAACATATGTGGTTCCAGTCTATCCAGAATTTTTAACATTTGGCTGCTCAAATTAACGAAATATAGTGTATGCTGAATATTTCATAACAGAGTTCGACAGCTTATTTCATAAGAAGTTATTCAAACGTATCACCAAACACTTACCAACATGGTTTTACAAAGGAGAAAAATGATGCCCCCACAGCTCCATCTTAGAACATCTTATAGAATCCGGACACCAAGCTACACCCCAAACAGACTTCAAAGTTGTCGACAGAATACGAAGTAGTCTTCCTAAAGGTGTACGAATAAGACTTCTTCAAACTGCAGAAGCAATGGCGATTCACTTGCTAAATCCTGAACTCTGCATACAGAAGAAGTTCGTTCAATCACCACACTTGAAATGGACGTAATCTATCTTACTACCCGACAAGTAAATTCTACCTAGTCCTTTTCTCTTCTGTTTCTTCATTAGTATCATTTTGTCTTCTCAATTGTAATATTTTACATTTTCAACCTTCTTGTTCTCTACCCCCACCCTATTTAATTTCTACACTTCACTAGCACTGTTACTGACTTGACCAACGCTCACAATTTCTAGTCATTTATGTTATGTCATCCAACTTATTTGCTCCATTTTAGTTCTAATTTAAATGGCATTAAGCATTCTCTACCCCACTTCTACTTCTACTTCTACTTACTCTCTACCTGTAATTACCTCTGTTGCTACCCTGACCTAAGTTGAAACATTTTAGTCAGTTATATTACTTTATCTAACTTACTAACTCAATCTTACTTTAGTTGCCGTCCAATTAACCTTGTTTCTATATTAGATCATTCTTTTATTACCTGATCAATTGTCTAAACTTGACAAACCTCATGTACACACATACACACACAAATAATTATATATAAATACGATTTTACAGCTATGTGAGTGAATTCGCCGAAAAGAGTCTCTTCGCTGAACATCTTCTCTTTTTCAAGCGATTTTTGTCCATAGTCAAACAGAAAGCATTGGGAAACCTTTTTTGTTTCAGTCCGAGACTCGTCCGCAGTCGACACCCATGAACTCTCAATATATAGGGAGAAAAAGTATTGTGTTTTGAGACAAGCCCTTTATCAGTGAGTTAGTGGCTTGAGATTCAACTGAACAAAACACGTGTCTGGTAGTGCCTAGTTTACAATCGTTTTCCAGCTACTGCTAATTTTCGACGAAGTTTTTTCAAGAATCAACCAATCCTCGTGAAACTTCACAAAGAAAATTTATCCATCTGTATTACGTCATCATTTCAAACGAAAACAACTTGTCAAATTTTGTAGAGAAAATGATGATGCGTTCTATTTATCTTCAAAACAGTGACCAATTATGACAAAGCTATTTGATTCACATAAGTCAGAAAGATAGACTAATGCGCTACAAGTTGCTTTTGTGAAGCTAATAAGACTTATGGTTGGCAGGAAGATGCTCTATACTAGTTGTCATAAGTAGTTTGCTTTGATTCGATTGATAACAGCTATGTTGTCTGTGTAGAAATTCCTAGTACCAATTTACCAATAGTAATGTCAAGGTTATGGCATGAATTTCGCCTGGAATTCAATGGAGAAGATATAGTGAATTCACATTATTCTTTGGCCTGGAACAATTTACGGAAAACGTGGGTGAATTCAATTCATTTTCATGAGTGGACTTTAACAGAAATATTTGTTTCTGTCTGTTTTTTCACTGGCTTCAAACCGCAGTGGATGCGTACTGCTGACGATTCCCAAAAGTAGGATGAAACAGCAGCTGTCCAGTACTCCCTGGTTTTCAATGCTTCTCTAACTGATACCAATTCTTGGGCAAACTCGTAAAAACAAATCTAATCCTTACAAACTAACTCTTGAAAACGATAATAGTAGTCACAAACATCATTTAGTAGTGTATTGTTTTTCAGTTGGCTGAGAAATCTTTATTTCGCCTCTCGTATTCGGCGTATAGCGGATGAGTCAATAAGGATAAAGTCTAAAGGATTGTAGTTGCATTCTCATGTTTGTCACTCACATCAGTTTCACACTACTTTTCTGTTTCACTTCAGTAGTTTGAAAAAAGTAAGCTAAATTTAACTTACATGACTACAGTATTCTTGCATTGGATGAGTGAGCTTATGGTTCCTAGATGTTCTTCCAGCGAAAAAGCATTGCTGACACATATCAAAATTCAGGCATCTAAGACAACGGTACCTACGGAAATGAAAAAAAAATACGCGGAACTCATGTATGAATGGAGTTACCCTCAATCACATTTTTGGCTTGTAGAAATTCAACTAATACCAAGGTAAATTTCAACATGAACCGACAGATTGCTGGAAACTAAAGAGAACTGGACACCTATCATTTATTTCTAAGTTTGACCTCTAGTGGGATCATGGTTGTCAACTGATGAAAAAATTCAAACTAGGAATAAATAGCTGTCTAATGCTCTTTATTTTTCGTTTCGTAATAAAATTCTACATTGCATTTAATATACTACAGCAGAATAAATTTATAACTCATGCAAAGCGTTATTTTAGAAAGGGAAATAATAGCCATAATAATCACTTTGTGGTTTGAAGTTTGTAGTGCAGTAAAGTTTTACTGTCTACTAGGCAAGAGGAAGCGGTAGCGCATCAGTTCGCCTACCATCTTATTCCAGTAAAATGATAACGAATCTTGTGACATTCTTGTCCTAGATAAACTAAGCGATATCTGAAAAGTGGATATATTTAATAAATATCTCTACGCTCTAGCTGAATAGATCCAATTTTAAATGATCGGCTGAATTTATCAAGACAGTTTTCGAGAACAAATTGATGTTTTACTTCTTGTATACTATCCCACTGGATTTTATCTATCAATTTGAATCAATTAAAAACCCTGCTTTCCCTTTGTGTACTGAAACATGGTATATAAAGTGGTGTGTAAAGAAGCAGGTCGGCCAAATGATGTAATTTCTTGTCTTTATAGACTGAAATTTCTGAGATATTGGTTACACACGCTGGGTTACAGCTTCCCTAGACAACATTCTTAGCAAAATAGCTAAATGCTGTCAGATCAGTTAATTATACCAGTTCATGAAGTGTCTGGTCGTTAAAGTGAATCATGTAACGATGTGAATATTGGAGTTTTAGCATCTTAGAAATGATACGAAACAGTAGTTAGAGATTCTTCATAGTGCCGAGCGAATCGCTTGCTATGGGACAGATAAATAAACTATATTTAATTTTCGAAAATTTTAAGGCTCTTGTGATTCTTAACTTTAATTATTTTACTCTTAGTAATGTTACTCGATTTATGCTGGCAGTTTAACGTTCTGTTGTTTCTAAGTGTAGTAACTTGAAATGATGCAACTGAATTCTATTTTCCGATTCTGTTTAATCTGTTTTTTGTCCTTCCAAAGCGTATAAATCATAAATCGATGCATCCATCTGAGGGCTATTCTTCTATGCGAGTTATTTGTTTAATATGTCGACTGATATTTGTCATAAGGCTTAAATGAGAGTTGCATCACGATACAGAAGATTTTCACATGAGATATCCGAAAGTCGATTTCAGTTTTTCCTTTACTGTGTTAGCAAATGACTGGACACTTTAACATTGATATGTGCTCGAAAAGATGACAGACAGTGTAAGCTAAACATTTTCACAGTTAAAATATATTTTCCTAATAAAATAAAAGTAGCAATCCGATGTAGATAAGAGAGTGAATGAGAAAAATTCGGTGGGTTTTAATGATACGCTAAATCTGAAAACGATGAAAAAACATACCTTAATCCAACCAAAGGCTGATTATGGCATACACTACATCGAATATGATGGATGACTTGTTCAGATAATGCAAGACGATGAAGCAACGGCAGCCATGTTAACGTCTGTGGATTTAAACGAAGCCAGGTCAAGAAATGCGCAATCCTTGCTGATGGTTTAGAATGATACGTTAGTGTTCCATCCATTTTGTCTGAGTGTTTAGAAATTTCAAGGACCTGAGTTATTGGGGAACAAAGTTAATTATTCCTTATGTTATACGTATTCGCATATTTTAAACAGTACTAAATGTTTTTAAAAAACTCCTATATCTACTGGCATTACTAGGGTATATCGCTGCATAAAATATTTTGATCAGAGATTTGGAAAGCGTTTAACAACTTTGACACAAAGACCAACAATAATAATGACAATCAAAAATTATCCGACCATTAGGTCAACCAAAAAACGAGCTCGTTTTATTCCGCGAATATATATTTATTTTTGTTTTATTCAAACTGATCGAGGAAACTGTGTGTACGAAATTTCGCATATCACTTTCAAATTTTGAAAATTTTACTATGCAGTTCCATGCTGCTTATTCTAGTATTAGTAAGTTTCTATTTTTTTATTTTATTCCTTTCCCTTCCTAATGGATCATGGAGCTTCAAGCTAAAGCTTTGAAGTTTCAGATGCAGTAGTTTTTTTTACGGGGTGGGATTGATAGCCTCACGACCAACTTTCCCTCCTTACCTGCCTTACTATCAGCCTAATGAAATTCAGGAGTGCGTTGGCCGGAGATCGAACTTCGTTCGAGGTTGGCGAGCGTTCTACCACCGAACCACAAATGTCAGTGTCAAATAACTGTTTCCTTCGGTGAAGGTTTAGCTCGTCTCTATTGACTGCCTTTCATTCCTGCTATTCATTTCTCATATAGGCATAATGTACCCAGCACACTTAACTGTCCTTTGGTTTCTACCTAAATCAAACTGACTGCATACGTATTATGACTAAATGGTGTCTGCTAGCTGAAAAAGCTGAGTATTCCCTATTTAATTATGGTGGCACTACAGTCACGTCATATCTCACATTACAATTTCAGTAATGTTTATAATACTTACTATTATACAACCGTATTCCTAACGAGTCTATGTACTCGATTTCTGTTGGAGGGGGAACTCCAACATTCGGATTGGCATTTCTTAGATGAAATCTAAGAATTGGTACAGAACTTGAGATTTATCCTTATATTCTACTGGCAATCATATTCCACAGAAGGATTAAATTACTCACATCAGCTAAGTATTGAACTTTGCATGGTTTAATGTTACTGTTTACTCACTATGAGTTAATGAATCCTTATCTTATTTTGGATGGTGGTTTGTTCATGATTCGAATAACGCAGTATATGTCTGACATTTAAAACATAGCTGTTCAGGATGAATCACTCATTCAACAGTGAAATAGACAACGCCGTCAAATGGGACAACCAGACATTAGTCAGAAAAGAACTCTACTTGAATGTCACTTGGAATTCCCTCTTACCTACCGTCTAAAATAATTAGATATTATCTGTTGGAACTGTTGTGGCGGAAATTGGACAAACAACCACTGGACAAACAGCAATTCATTAGATTATTTTAGACCTGCAACCTCTGTGTGATATAAATTCATTAAAGTAGTCTTGAAAAAATGCAGTAGTAATATAGTTTAGAATAATCGGAAAATACCGATTAGGTTATAGAAAAAAAAGACGGTTTCAGTGAAGAAAAAGTTTGCGTTTCGATGAAGTCAACAACGACATTGGTGAATGTGTAACAAAGGAATAAGAAATTTATAATGAAAGGGATGAGAAAGTCCCACAGATATTCCCAATAAGAGGTGAAAATATAACGAAAATAAAGTGGACTTATGTAATTTATATGTAAGGATTAAAACATAATAAAAGGAAGAATAAACGTGATGTTCGGGTAACACTGATATTCTTGAGAAAACCGACTGTTCATTATCACCATAATGAAGACAAAGGTTGAATGTACTTCTCCTAGATGCATAGCATTGGCTTGCATTTTTGAATCGCCAAAATGTTTTGACTTCACTCTCTTTGGCAGGTTTAAACAGATCTTGTATAAGTCTTTGAAGGATCTAACAATAGGAGTCGAATGTTCGGAGGGCTTGAGAATTTCTGTTGCTGAATTATAGGCACTCTTCCGTACTGTTTGTCTTCACTATGATCATTATGAACAGTCGATTTTCTCAAGAAAATCAATGTTACCCGATTATGCTTTTTTCCCAGTATCCCGTTTTTTTCTCACTATTACTATGTTTTAATCCTTATATATAAATTACGTAAGTCCATTTTGTCTTCGTTATATTTTTACCTCTTATTGGGAATATCTGATTTCCCAAAAACTGGAAGATATGCAAGTGAAAAGCAACAAGCTAGCAGAAGAAGCATCCAGAGAAGATAGAACTTCAGGTGAACACAGAGAAAACAAAGACGATGAAGATTCCTGGCCAACAACAACAGACAACAATCAGCCAGCATAAATGGGAGGAACCTGAAAGAAACAACCTCCTTTACCTAATTACCTGGGAAGGATCGTTTCAACTACAGGCCGACGGAACTGACGAGGATATCAAAGCCACAATCGGAAAAGCAAGACAGGCTTTCATTACCCTTAAGTCTGTGGGGAGGTCAACATCACTCAGCATTAAAAATAACATCCGGATTTTCAACTCCAATGTGAAGTCAGTCAGTGCTACTATACGGATCAGAGACTTGTCCATCGGGTCATGAAGAGCATCTCAAACAAACTTCAGACCTTCATCAACAGCAGTTGTCTTCGCTCAATACTCAAGATCAGATGGCCGGCCAGAAAACATCAGCAACACGGATCTCTGGCAATGAGCGAACCAACCCAGCAGGAACCGATTGTGAAACAAATAGGCAGGAAGAAATGCAGATGGATTGGCTGGCCTTACGCTGAGGAAACCATCAAGTGACATCACTAGACAAGCCATAGCTCGAGTGGAACCCGAAAAGGAAGCGGGCGGTGAGTTGGTCGTCAGTGTGAGGGTGACTTGGAGGAGGTCATGTGAAGAGGAGATGAAAGCACGTGGGCAGACTTGGAGCGGGGTGAAAAAGTTGTCAGAAAACCGAAGGCAATGGAGACGTGTGGCTGAAGCCCTATGTTCCTCTAGGAATTAAAGAATATACTATAATAATAATAATAATAATAGGGAATATCTGTGGAACTTTCTCATCCCTTTTATTAGAAATTTCTCTTTCCCTTGTAACATATTCACCATACCTGGCGGCTTGCTTAAATCTTGGGCTAACAAAATTTTCATCCTACATATTGCCTCGGATTTTTTTTAATCATTCATTATTATTATTATGTATAACCTTGTTGATGACTTTTTCTTCACTGAAACCATTCTTATTTTTTTTACAAACCGCAGACTAGTGATTCCGAGTTGTGATAAGAAGCAATGGTGAGTAAAATGTTATAACCTGATTTAACATTCACAACTAGGTGAAGTGCAGTTATCTTAGAAGTAATAAGTAATATATTAATGACAATAAATGAAAGCTTGGGATTCAACAACACTATGGATAAAAATACTTTTAGTTCGGATTAACAGAAAATTAATTTGAAATTACTTGTTGAAAACAGGCTTTTACGCATTGATTGAAATCTTCTTTGCCTAAATGTCCAGTTTCACCAAGATTACGTGGAATAAGTACACACTCGTAAAGTAAAGCACCCAATCGTTGTTCGTCTACACAACCATCACGATCAGATATCAAACTGAAAAGGTCTAAACAAAAGTTACATAGGAAAAAAATTAATATTTTATGCAATGAAAGACAATAAGTCAGTTAATTCATTCGGATATTAAAGGGGAAATTATGCTTCTATTGGTGGGTGAGTGCTGATGAAGAGTCCCAAACTAAGACGAAACAGCTGTCCAGTACTCCCAGGTTTTCCAATGGTTCTCTAACCAATGTCGTCTAATGACGAAATCCTGTAACCAACCAAGTCCCTACAAACCAACACATAAATATCGATGAGATGCTCACTAGCGACTTGCCCTATTCAGGTAGGTAGATACCTGGGGTTCTAGTGAGAAGTCGTGACCAGTAGGGTGCAGCCGGTCGGGTATGAGGACAAATACTCGCCGTAAACTGAATTAATTGATTATTTAAGACAATTTTAGTGAAGCTGTCTCTACAAACAACAGGTTTATGTGACCTGTGGTTTTACGATTTAAACGCTCTGACATCAGAGTTTCTTGATGAAATATTAAACAAAAGGCTTTTAAGGTATATATATGAACTCTAGCTTCACTTACAACGATATTTTTCATCTAAATTTGCCATTGACATCAAGGCCAGTGCCACCTTAAATGATAGAACACGGATTGTACCACGTCGCATACTGTGGAAACAAAAGAGACAAAGGGACGAGAAATATACAGAGATGCTAAAATTTGAAGTAAAAGTGAGGAACGATGATTATAAAAGTAATATGTTACTCATGTACATAAAGTGCGCTTGAAAAATGATTCATTGACACAGTGAAATGACAATAAAAATTCCGAATAATAAAAGCCTCAAACATTGACAATTCACAAAATAGGAGTAATACATGGAAATGCCTTTGTAATGCATGTATGTGCTGCATTCACTTAAAACAAACAAATATTCTTCTTGCACACTTGAATCATAGACAACTTTGAATAAGGTGGGTTGTTGCCAAACAGTTTAAAATCAAAAGTGGCTGCAAAATCTTTTTGAATTTCCACGTTTGTGAAGAACTTTCTACAGTGGTCAGATTATGTCATTGCTAATTAGTGAATTAATTAGTGTATTTAAATTCCTCAGATTCTCACTTCAAAATGTCACCGGCTCGACACAACAATCGAAATTCTTCATCACAAAAATAAATCGACATCAAACTTTCATTGAACAATGAGACTAAATCGCCCTAAGTGATACTGGTTGCAACGAAGAGAGCTGATTTTCCAGCCTCGCTACCGATTATTTGGAGGTAGACAAGGATGTGTTTACATTGCAAGAAACAAAATATAGTAGAATGAATTAAATTCCTTGAATTCCGCGCGCTTAAAATCCTCTAGGTACACACATTACAATCAAAGTACTTTTAGGCTGTGCTAGTTTAAGACGCCAGCACCAAATATTAACAACTAGACTCAGTTCATGTATATAAATATTGAAAATAATAACACTAAGAAAGTGTAATTAGAGATCAAGGTCGTAAGAAACCTAAACTATATGAGCATAACTCAGGATATAACAGGGTAATGTTAGAAGTAGATAACGTAACGGCACAAAGATAGGGAGATGCACCAAAATCTACTAAGAATATAATGAATCAATGTAGATCGCAAATATTGCGAGTACAAATAATGTTTGAAGGAGATATATGTGAAAATTAAGAGTGAAGGAACCACTACCAAGATGAACCATAAGATTTTTTTGCACACGAAGGTTAAGTTTCTGAATACGTGTTTCTGTTGCTTCTGCATAACGATGCTGTTCGCTGTTTATTCATCTATTGGTCGACGACATGTAAAACTGTGCTGAAGTCGACACTGTGACCTGCATAGAATATGTGTTTCTCATTGGCACTAATACATAGTCATGTATATTTCAAAGATAGGCTTTTCAATGCATGTTCCGAGACTGTTTTAGCAAACAGTTTTACCGTTTACTTCACTTATAAGCCACTGAAATTACAAAGGAGTAAATGAACACAACTGGAGATAATGTGAGGGGATCTCCTATCAAAGTTGATTTTTCTTATTTCATTCATCTTGTTATAGATGACAGTCAAACACTCGATTGACAATCATTGTTACCATCTCCTTTGAGTGGGAATTCGGTGGACGCTGCTTATGTCATATCTTTCTTCATTCGCTTTTTCGTCTCCAAATTTACTTAAACATATTTTAACTGAATACACTGCCACTGTATCACCATGTGTCATACGAAGTGAGCTTACTTAACATAGCCAGAATTATTTTCCAACATTAAATCTCAGTGGCATCAAGCTACTTACAAATAAATAGTAGTACAACTAGAACAAGTTAGAAAATATAGAATTTAGAAGTGATAAGTTTTATATGTCTGAACCAAGTTCACTTTTAACAGTTTGAAAAAATTTGGGCATTGGGTGAATGAAAAGCAAAACGATATTGGAGGTAATAGCTTTCAAAGTACACTACCGCTTTTGCTCAGAATTGGGTAGTTTTTAAAAATTCACTAAAATAGCATCAATTTACAACGTTTATTAAAACATGAAAAAGTAAAAAATTCGGGAAATTACCGATCATAAACATTCAATAACCAATTTAGTATAAGGTCGACGCAAACATTCACTGGACGTTTAATTGAACCAATAAGGTAATGTTTCCTACGTCTCATTGTGTTTTTTCGACTACGGTTAGTGATGTTCATTTCCTTTTCAACACCACCATTAATAATATTACTATTGCCTTTTGGATTGACTTGCATGATAGTACAAATTGGAAGACTAGAACTTCGATTATCTTCACTGAGTGCATTTTCATTTTCTATTGTATGACAACCTGGATCACGTACAGGTGTTTTAGTCATTTTTCTACTGTTCTCATGTTCATCTGACGAGGATAACTTACGCCCCCGTGTTGTTGAAGAGGAACGCAAAAAGCTGCCCATACAATTTTTCGATTGATTTTGAGATTGCATTGTGCTTGTCTTAAAGTCATCCTAAAGCAAAAAATGAATAGTATTTACATTGTTGTTATCATTATTATCATTATTCCTGTCATTGATGCCAAAAACGATAAATAATAATACTTATTAACAATAGGATTTCTAAAACAATGCTACTTTGTCCTCATATTTAAGTACTGGACAGAATCTGTCCTAATATTTTTGTCATCTAAGAAGAATTCAGACTGTATGATGTGGAATAGTTTACCGCGTGATAGCTTATATTCTTTCACTAGTTCAGCAAACTTTCTTAACAGTGAGGATAGTTATGTTTATAACAAGAGTAACTCAATTTACCTTGTAAATCCTTCAAACGTGACGTGAATAGCGTCGTGTTTCATTTTTTAAAAATGTTAGTAGATAGTGAAGTAAGTTAAGAATTCAGGGGGTAAAGAACTCTCCATATGTCTGAAAATACACTTCACGGGTGTAAATCAAAAGGAGGCCTGGGACAAACATGGAGTCACTAAAATTGGCTACTAACGCCAGACAGATTCATTTTCATCATTCTAGCTTTTCAATTATCGTTTTAGATTTTCTACCCAAATAGAGATAAAGTGAACAAAAGCTGAGCAAGACAGATTATTAATTCATCTCTTTGAATCAACGCTTCATTAAGAGGTTGACTACATCTACGAATATCGTAACCGAAGTAAAAACCTGAGTAACACTGTGATTTGGCTCTTGGGGTAAATGACAATGTGCAGATTGGACGACTATAGGATGCTGATTATCTCATTATGCTTGATATCCATCAGAACTATTACCACTGGTATTTAGCTAATCAGTGTCGTTTTGACGAATTATTCCTCGATGACAGATTTATCTGAACCACAGGTGAATGATGGATGGTCGTAACTTCATACACAAAGCGACTGCTTTTTTTAAAATAAAGGGAATCCAGCGTTAAAATAAAAGCAATTTGCAGAACACTGTTTATAATAAGGCACCAAACGTTTGAATGCAGCAATAATCGAAAATAAGCAACACACCTCATAGGATCCTGAAGCCGGTAATGTAGAATAACGGTCGGTTACACCAGTTTTCATATTCGAATTAGCTTCTTGACTATCGTTTACGACTGCCTCACCTTCACTGCGCCTTAAAGTTGTCTCCTTCCTATAATTCTGTCCATCTGCTCCATCATTTGAAGAATACTGGCCACTATTATTCAATCCATACAAAGCTCGCGTATGGTTAAATAATTGCAGTAAGTAATCAATAATCTGTGGTACACTTATCATTCGGTCAAAGGGATCACTTGTTTGTTGGCCAAGCATAGGATTACTTATCGACTGTGAATGACCAATATGCTTTAGATTCTCAGCAACGATTGATATACTAATTGAGTCAACTGAAAAGGGAGATAGTTCAAAGACAAATAAAATGAAAAAAAAGTGAAGTAATGTGGTTATAAACAAGAATTAATAGATTGGAAAAGTTCACTGTTTTACTTATCGATGACACAGATCAACATACATTACCAATACAAGATTTAGTATAACTGGTGAATTGGCCTAAGTTGTAACAGGTTATACCCACGTATCAAGTAGGTGGAGTTAAAGTTAAATTAAAGAAATGAACTTTATAAGATCGCCCAGCATTTCAGTGAAACATAGACATGTTATATATATATATATATTCTGTTTGCTGTCAGAGACAGAGTACTTTTCCCACAGTTCAGTAATGAGTTAGCAACAGAGTACTACATATCTGTTTTAACATTCTATTTCATGTTGTTTAATGTAAACCAAAATCACAAGCTCTATGATTGGTTAAAGAATATAAACTGTATAGATATAAATAGATGTTTGATCACTTGAAAATATATCTTTCCTTCCGTGTCTTGCCATCTGCTATTAAATCAACACCTTTATTAACATAAATAGCTGTTGCATATTAAATATGGCTTATTACTACTATTCCTTTGGGTTCCAAGTGGGACATAGGGCTTCAAAAGCATATCTTTACGTTGTCCCGCCCTCTACATTCCTCTTTATTTGACTCCACGAATCCCATATACATATAAAATGTAACTTACTGCCCACAATAAGAATTTGTATCTGGACTTTAAGGTGCATACACAATCAGACAAATGTTTTATCAGGATGGTCGGGGGTGGGTGCCTTGCGCTGCGGGTTGGCCACCCCTCCGTACACCTCTTGAAATGCTCCCATATGACCGGGCGTCTTACATAGCCTCTCCTGAGGAAGTCCTACTCACTGCCTTCACGTGGCGGAGGTGTTTTTCACCGAAGTGAGAGGGCAAAAGCGGATGCCCGGCGCTCTTCACCGGGTTGACTGTCCATTGGATGACAGTCTAGGGGAGATGGCTAAACCCTGATTCCAAACCTCCAACGACTGGCGTATGAAGCTCACCGGAGCTCACCGGCAGACGTATGGACAAAGGGCTTGTTGGATGTCCTGGATGTCTGGCCCCATTCAAAAAGGCGTATGAACCGAACTCCGGTCACCGGCTGCCAATGGATAGTGGACTCCCTACTCCACTCCTACTGCCTTGTAGGTCACACTTGGCTGTGTAAAGGCTAGAGCTGCACTCTCAAACAAAAGGCCGAGCGATGCTGGGGACATCACTCGTACCAAATTCCCATGAAACTTCATGAACTCTCTACAAACAACTCTCACCATGCTACGGCGTTCCCGGTAAGCGACGCGCCCTGTGCTCACCCGGTGGCCAGTGTGAAAAGTAAGCTAGCTGGGAAATTAACACTTAGAAACCAACTATTTGTTGGCTGCTGGAATGTTAGGACGCTGTTGGATCCTGGTAGCCAGTCTATCACCATGCGTTCTTTATACGACTACAAGGTGGACATAGCGTGTCTATCTGAAGTGAGGTTACCCGATCATGGCTCCCGCCGAATAGCCGTACCTGGAACAGATTCTTCATTCTGGTTGCTTCATAGTGGACCCCAGAATAATTCGGGACAACATGGGGTAGCATTTGCTCTCAGTAACAAAGCCAATAATGCCCTAATATCATTCGAACCGGTCAACTCCAGAGTTGCAGTCGCTAGGTTCAAGGGTTCCCCGCTCGACATTTCTGTTCTCGCTGTCTATGCCCCAACCCTCGACTCTGATGAAAGTATCAAAGACGAATTTTATGACAATCTTCAAGAGGCAATCAACAAAATCCCAAAGCGTGACGTTCTCATAGTAGCCGGCGATTGGAACGCCCGCACTGGCCCTTCAGACGACGCGACAAAACATATACTAGGCAAACACGGTCTCGATCAGCGCTGCCGTAATGGTGATAGACTTTTAGCTTTTTCTGATTACAATCGATTATATATCACCAACACTCGATTTCAACACCCAGAAAACATCTTCTCACCTGGTATTCGAACGACGGTCGCACTGCACATCAGATCGACTACATCCTAGTGCGCTCACGCTGGATCTCCTCGGTGGAAGACTGTCGATCCTATCGTGGAGCAGAGGCCGGAAATAAAGGGGGATCAGACCATACTCTAGTTCGGGCGAAATTCAAACTTCGTTTAACACACGCCAGAAGGCGCGACCTCCGAAGCGTATCAATGTTGCCCGCTTCAATGTTCGACAAAGCGACAAGCCTTGTCCAAACAAATCCAGGCCGAACTAAGCGCCGCAGATGAACCAACATCCACATCTTCTAATACACCTGAGACACGATGGAATCATTTCAAAGAAGTAGTCTCTAAAGCTTCAATGTCGCATTTGGGTACCACATCCAAGAAGCAGAAAGACTGGATTTCAGAGCACACCATGCATCTATCCTCGCAAGCCAGAGACGCTCGCCTAGCAAAGTCTCCAGTTTATCGCTCCCTCAGGCGCAAAGCTACACAGTCTGCTAGGAACGACAGAAATCGCTATTGGTCTAATGGCGACTAACATGGAAGCAGCATCAAATGTAGGCGATTTCGGAAAACTTTATCGCCTCATACGCCTATCATCTGGCAAACGCCTTAACAGTCATGCTGTGTTACGCACAGCATCAGGAGAAATTATTTCGGACACCAATGGTAAGATGGAACGATGGGCCGAACATTTCAAGCAGCTACTCAATCGCAACGCTGGTCAACCGTCTCATCGACCGATACGACACTTACCAACACCCTACGTAGTTGACTGCGATCCACCCACTCCAACCGAAATAGCTAAAACAATTAACAGACTCAGAAACAAAAAAGCTCCGGGCGAAGATGGTCTACCCCAGAAATATACAAGGCCTGCACTCCAGCGCTAATCGATTCGCTGCACTCGCTGTTCTGCTCAATTTGGGAGTCCGAAACCATTCCTTCCGATTGGAGCACCTCAGTTCTGCTACCGTTCCACAAAAAGGGAGACAGGTCAATATGCGAGAACTACCGAGGCATAAGTCTGATTGATATCGCTGCTAAGGTTTTTGTTTCCATTCTCCTGAACCGCTTCGCGGCCGAACGCCACGTGCGAACAAGGCCAAATCAAGCCGGATTTCGACCTGGAAGAGGCTGTGTTGATCAATTATTCACACTGCGAAGAATTTTGGAACACAGGGACAAATTCCAACAGCCGACGGTTGCTTGCTTCATCGACTTCCAAGCGGCATTCGACTCAGTTGATCGAGGAGCACTCTGGTATCTAATGGAGCTCGACGGAGTTCCGACCAAGCTAATCAACCTGCTCAGGTCATACTACTCCAACACCAAAGCTCGAGTCCGAGTGAACGGTGAAGAGTCCCGCACTTTTGAGGTAACCAGCGGTGTCCGGCAAGGTTGTCCAGCATCCCCCATCCTGTTCAATTTCACAGTTGATTGGATTTTGCGGCACGCCCTAACCGAGCACCACGGCGTCCAACTTTCGCCCGATATTCACATAACCGACCTCGAATTCGCCGACGACGTCGTGCTATTAGCTGAAAACTTCCCCGATATGCAACAGGCGCTCGACCAGATAAACCACCTCGCGCCTACTATCGGTTTGAAAATTAACACTTCCAAAACCAAAATGTTTTCGAACACATCCACCAGCAATGATGAAATCTTATCCCTAAATGGAGCACCTATTGAAATTGTGCCATCCTTCAGATATCTGGGATCCATAATGCTCCCCAACGGCCAAGCGAAAAACGAAGTGAATGCGCGAATCTCCAACGCCCGGAATGCGTTTCTACAGCTGAGGAGCGTTCTATGGAGCAAGAGAGAAATCAGTCTCAGGACTAAAATTCGGGTCTACCAAGCCTCCATACGACCCGTTCTCCTGTATGGCTGTGAAACCTGGCCTCTTCGCGCGGAAGATTTACGCAGACTCGAGGTAGTAGACCATTGGTGCCTCAGGTACATTCTGCATGTTCGTTGGCAGGACAAACTCTCCAACGAAGAAGTGCGTCGTCGTTGCTACAACATCAACCAAATTCCAGTACTGGTCCAACAACGCCGCCTTCGGTGGTTTGGCCATGTTCTGCGCCGACCAGATGACGATCTGGTCAAATCAGTTCTAAATCCCTCGCCATTACCATCTTGGCGATGTCGCAGGGGTGGACAGCTGAAGACATGGCTTGGTACAGTCAAGGCTGATATGGAGTGCCTGGGGCTACAAACCGTCTACGGACTCCGTATGTGGAACAAGAATTGGATAACCCTGTCGCAAAACCTTGCATCAGATCGCCGCGCCTGGGCAGCGATGATTCGAGACGTTCATGAAGCCGGCTCATCCTCCCGTAGGAGATAGCCGAAGTAAAGTAAAGTAAGTAAGTTAAAACGAACCAGGAAACTGGGAGATTAGTATTAGCATCAGTCGTATTGGTTGCCCATATGATAAATTATATATATATATACTAACCCGTGTCAACAAGTGCTGCAGTTGTAGAAATTACCACTGAACCATATGAGCTCACAAACGCTGGTGATACAAGGTGTTGCTCAGTCTGTTAGGATTAGGGATGAAAGTGAATTCAAACATAATAACGCTAATGTATTTGAATAATCTAGTAACATTTACTATACTGTTAGATTACTTACAGCACAACTCTTTTTGTAATCGACGTAGTTTCAGACTAGTCCGGTAGTCTGAAAATCGAACAGTATTAAATTGTTTTATTGATTTCATTAGATCACATAGTATTGGATGATCCCATTGAGTTTCCTGAGTTTCATGACTAAAATAAAGGAAAAATAATACAGCATAATAAGTAACAGTGTGAAGCAGTAAGTTAAAGCAAATTCATTCAGTTTTAAGGAGATACCTTAAGTGAGATGAAATTCTCTATAGTCCTACAGATATTCATATCACTTTGGAGTATCACTGTTTCACTGGAGGAGAATGTTCATAAAATGCTAAAGAAATACATGTTTCTTACAACACTGAACGTGTGAAGTAATATGATAGGTGGACTGAACTATTCAAGTTAAGGTTATAGGATAGATATGAAATTTTGACTACAATAACAATCAGGTTAGTTAAAATTACTAAGAATCTAATAAATTTTCGAAATGATTTTGGAAATAAGCGGAAAGTTTTAAAATTAGGAGAGTTTTAAGTCTGTTTCACTTTAAATTCCACAGGAAAACTATTGGCTTAACGTGACCACGAAGGCAGTCAATCAGATAAAAACGATTTTACTGTTAGTGTGTGTTAAAGCATTATGATATAGGCAAATTTTTCACTAAATTATAGTTTGCGTCATAACAACACAAATCGGATGTAGTTGTACCTTGGAGTTGTAAATCGAAACAGTGCTTTTATTTGATAGACGTTGGTATCTTTATGATGATCACCATCAATAACCAAGACCCTTTGGGGCTCTAGGTAACGTTACTACCAAACTGAGATCACCTTTTGTTGATTTTAAGATGAGCTCACCAGTCTTTTATTAGTGTTCCTAGAAGAATACAGAGTTTCAAACTTTGAAGTCCTAGTAGCCGTGGTGTTCTTGCTAGTCTCACCATAAACCTTCCTCTTTTTGTGCTTATTACTAACTGGTAAACTTAGAGATTTTGAGTGTATATGCTTGGGATCGAGGCTGGACAAGAGAAGTCGCTTTGATAAAGTGTGTTATGGGGAGCTAATGAACCTTGTTTTTCTAGATTAAAATACGGTTTAAGAAGTAGTTTTATGTCACAAAGAATACACTTGTGAATGAAAATAAATTTTTAATGAATCCTGAAGTCCACTTAGTCCTCCTCATTCTGCTTGATCCCAATATTTGGATCCAAAGCCTTTTAAAGATTACTCAGAATATCTACAAACTGACTAAACGCATATCTTTTTAAGTAGACAACTCTGAATTTACTCAGCTGAAGACAGTAGTGACAGAAGTTTAAAACAGATCTAGGTGATGCTATAAAGTGAAGAAGGAGTTTTCAGGCTATAGGCTTTGCATTCTTCACCTACTTACAGCCTGTAAACTGTTCACCTGTGAGGATATTTGGGTACACACAACCTGTTTTCACAACCAACTGTGGATCTTGAATACAAAGGTGGGAATTTTATATTTCAGCATATTGTAAAGGCCAAACAATCAATTTCACCTTTAGGCATAAATCTGACCTAAACAAACTGGTTAGCACTCATGAGGTGTGCAGCATAGATGGCACTGAAATAGAAACCAACTCGGAAATTAAATACCTTGGCGTCATTCTATCTGCTCATCTTTCCTGGTCGTCTCATATCTTAATGATTTCTAAGAAAATATTCCGTCTTACCTTCTACTTCAAGAAGTTAAGATATTCTGGAATAATCCAACCCTTACTCCTACGATTCATTAACTCTTGCATCCTGCATATTATTCTCTATTGTTTCCCCTTAGTTTTTCCAGGGCTACTGAAGAAAGACTAAACCTTATTACGCAGGATCTTAAAGGTTGTCAGCAGGGTAACCAACGTGCCACTTAACCAGCTTGTTAATATTCTGGTTGACAGGCACTTGGACTCATGCGAAAAATGGGCTAAATCCATTTCATCTAACTCACAACACCCTCTTCATTCACAACTCTCCCCTTGTATCTCATCAGGCAGAACCAGAAGCCTATATAGAAAACTATATGCTCGCATTAGCAAATACAAAAACTCAACTATACCTTACTTAGCTAGTGATTCTGTGCGATAAAGAAAGCATTAGGTGTGATACCTATAACTTATTAAATAGTCAGTAGAACAACTGGATCTCATCTTTCCAACTCATATCATTTATAGGTACAACGTTTTCTTTTGTTTCTTTCTTCCTTACAAACTCTACTTAAAACATTCCTATTCTTTCTTTCACACTCTGTATATCTCGACCTTTTTGTTACCGCTTACGCCAGTAAATATGCTAGCATCTACTTTTCTAACACCTTCAAACACTCTGTTCAATTTTGGCTTACTACCGATATGCCAATATGTTGTTGTCACAATGAACTGAGATTACCCTTAATCTATGTAGAATTTTATTTATTGTTAATATACTAACTGGATGCAGTACTGTAGTGAAATGCTGAGAATTCCATTCTGTATCACAAGTACTGTTTTGAAATAAAGCAAATTTTATTATTATTATGCAATAACCTTGCTAAAATTTCATTCAACTAAGTTATTAAGTGAATACTGTGTGTGATTCAGCTTACTTTTTGTAATATGGAACCTGTGTACCAGACGGGTGAACGCATCTTTCCCAGGGTAGACGAACAGAATCTGAAAAGTGAGATAAAAGTGTACTCACAGTTGCGTGATAGATAAATTCATTCAGAAGATATTGCTGTGTAAAAAAAGGGGGAACGAAGCCACGTCTATGAGCAGTACAACTTTAGCCAGCTCTATAATTCACAAATGAGATACAAAATATATTCTCGATACTAGTAGTTTTTAAGAAAAATCAACATATATGAATGGTGGGAATTAATTTCATCTTGAAAAAAATAACTAAAAGATAAATTCACTAATGCAGATTGTTGGGGAACAGAAACTTATTCTTCAATGCTTAGTAGTTGCGGCAATAGTAGTTCCAAGGAGTGCAAAAATAATCAAAAGTGAAAATGAAACCAGAAATTGTTTAAGATTTTCAGCAAACAATAGAGATGCTTTAAATGATAATTTTGATTCAAAGTATAAAGAAAAAAGCGTTGAATTCACTGAAAACAGTTGAAGACTATTATTCTAAAATGTACACCTCTGAATACTCATTGTCTGACGCTTGTTTTTATAACCAGAAAGAAAAGATCATAAGCATTTTCAGAAGCGGACTGTCTGAAGTTGGGATAGGCAAAGAAAGAAATTTCAATATCACTTTCGATGTCATTACCTGTGATGGGCAACTTTTCCTATTATTCCCAACCCACAGATTCCCTGAAAATAAGTATTGCCCATCGGCATTACCAGGTACTTGTATACAAGTCAAGACTGATGAGACTTACCATGTAAGGGAACACTCCTGGTATGCACTGAAGCTTCTGGCATAGACGTTTCAAGTGGTTCTACCGGGTCATAACGGGATGCTTGAGTACGTTGTGACGGAGTACGAGTAACAGTTTGGTATCTAGGTCTCTGAGGCATCATTTGAAGAGCGGATAAACTTTGATTCAGATGATGAATCCTAGTCTGTGTGACAACACGAATCCTTTCAAACCTTTTAAATAATTAAAAAGGGGATCAGTTAGAAATGAAAGGTAATAAATGGAAGGCTAAATATTTCATAATGAAATAATAATTTCTACTGTCTGAAGGAAATTTGATAAGAGCAATCAAATGTTTTCGATGATGTTGAAAGTTATGAATGTTGAAAGCTATGAATACGGAATTTAGACCTTTCAAAAGACAAACCCAGAATAAGACTTCATGTGTGTCTTGTTAACGAATGTAAACGTGTAACTAACTTTAACTTGAGGCTTTCGGCCAGTTGATTCTCAATATCTGGTAGAGTGAAGTTTATTTGCTTTCTTCAGTTATTGCAATGTGTACATCACTGACTAAATCAGCTGCTTCCTATTTCTGCTTACATTCTATGAGGTTATGTTTAGCAATTCTTTGCTGAATACTGAATGTTGAACTGTTTTCTGTAGCAATTTCGTTGCTGTCAAGTTTGTATGCTTAAGGGATTCTATAATGGTTAACCCAGACAGAGCTCAGCTTTCACATTTCAGATCAGTGTAATCCATATAGCTACAGGATGAGGCATATATAGAGGCTGAATGCTGTTTAAAATAAGCAAATGACAGTTTCTACTACACTTTTCAGCTACAAAACGAACTCACTCCAGATGGAGAACACCACCTACCAAGGAGTATCTGTAAAAATGAAGCATATTTCTCGAGACTTTCTGTAGATGAATGCATATAGCGTGTGATGTTATGAATAACGTTGCTTAGTTATCTGACGAATTACTTGAAGAAACATCAATATTACTACTTTTCTTAATTTGTTGTGTGCCTTTGAAAGCAATCACAAAGTTAATAATTCCCATGATTCCTCTACATTAGAAATTGTTCCAATTCTTATGCATGACCTATTTATATTTCATTTGTTCTACAAAGTCATATTAAAGGACACAATAACAACACGGAACACAATAAAATGTGACCACAACTCTAAACGCATTATTATTATTAATATTATAACTTAAATATAGTAAGAGTTAATATGCAAAATTAATTATGCATGAATGGAATGAATTCTAAGATATGCCTAGCGAGGTTAATATTTCCTTTGTATAGTCCACTTATATTATTAAATAATAAATCTTTTGAATACCATTATATAACTGTTGAAATAATTTTATCATTGTTTCAATCGGATTCGAAGCTCAAACTGTCCCAAGATTTTCGTAATATTCATGGCTTGAATATTTCCAAGTTTCTGACTAACATTAAAGCCTTCAGTTGATAATAACGAGATGTATTACTCCAGGATTATCTGTGTACACTATGTGAATATGTACCCTTAATAGCTGAATCAATTTACTTTGTTTACATCTTAAATGACCGCACTGTTGTTCTATTTTATCCTTGATTATTGAAAAGATATGACAAGTTAAATCAGCATGCTGTTTTACAAGCCTTAAATGGTGTACCTGTGAGTCAGCTTATTACCGAAACTGTTCGACTGTACTTCATTACTGAGTTCATCGTTCAAAACATACTACTGCATTTAGGTAAAGAGATTCCAGTCCTTTGAAAATCATTTGTGAATAAGAATCAAAAACTAGGCATTGTATAGAAATCAGCACCAGGAGTATGTACGTATGTTATCTTGACAGTATTCATTCTTGATATTAGTTACGCCCATATTCTTAAAGTAATCAGCACTATTCAAACGGTCACTATGATTAATCTGTCTATATCATTAAGTACTGTAACTTATAAAGAGTACATGCTTAGTTGATAAGCTTTTCGACAAATCAATTTTACTTACTCATTTCTGATGCAGTTGAGTTGTACACGTAATTTGGGCTCAATCTGGACTTGTATTTCTTGCAACTGAAGGACTTGTCGTTCAAGGCTATCCAATGAATGCGCTAGTGGCTCACAAGCTTCATAGAAAGACTGCGAAAGAAATAAAATATTATAGAGTGAAAAATTTTAAAAGAGTATAAATTGACTGTGAAAATGAAGATAAAGCAACTGACATAAAAGAGAAAGCCTGGAGTGCTACAAGGCTGAAAACAATTTCTAGTAGTTTTGTATCCCAATGTGACTGAGGTTTTGATTTTTAACTTCACACATCACCCCAGTATATTACGATTAGCAGACTGTTAGCAACAATTTTAACGCGTAAGCGGTATAGCTTACTGGCACCTAACCAGGCAAAACAGACATTCGAAAAAATCTTTAAAGAAAAGAGTTGCTTCTTGACCCCACCCCATCCTGTCCCAGTCAACAGGATTGAGGAGAGGTGGAAATCTGCTGTAAATTCTTTATATATATATATATATATATATATATATATATATATATATATATATGAAAAATATTTGAATTTTCAAATTACGGAATATACACATTTGATCATAGGCAGTAAAAAGAAAGTTGCAGCGAAGAAAATTTCTTTTTCGACGAAGTCATCCACTAGGCTGTAGATTCGTGTATTTATAATAAACGGGCAGGGAAGTTCCAGAATAATTTCTGGTCAAGGGTTAGATTAATAAAATTACAATTAGGAATTAAAATGCCTTAATAAACAGGGAGATGGATAAGCCTCAGACAAAGTAGCATCATAACTACTCAGAAGCTTGACATATTGTGCGATTAAGAATTAGAAATGTAGAAATAACAAAACAGCCTGGCTAGTATAAGGAGAACAAAAATGGGCATGTAGTTCAGTGAGAGAGCATCTGGTCAGTTCAGGACATTCAGCACAATTCGAAAAATCCTTCAAAATAATATACAAGATTCGATCAAACCTATTGAAGGGAGTAAAATTAAGACAAATGGGCATAGCCGAGGCAATAACCATCCAAAACCTAAAACCCACGCTATGTATCCAAAAGAAATACGTTCAACCCTTGTCCCTACCGTGGCCATCATAAACAGTCAATTCTTCCAATAGTGACTACCCCATTGCCTTTCTTATCCAAACTTCCTGTTTATTCATGTTATTTTTAAGTTTCTCTTAACCCCCTATTTACACTACTATATTTTCAAATCCGAACTTCCTGTTTATTTTGTCATTTCATTATTTTTACATATGTAATCCCTGATTGCATAAACAATTATTCGTCACACCAGTTTTGATCCTACTAGATTTGTTATTCAAACATGCTGTCTATTTTTGTTACTTCTACATTTTTAACCGCTAATTGCCCAATATGTCAAGCTTCTGAGTAGTTATGATGCTACTTTGTCTGAGCTTTATCCATCCCCCTGTTTATTAAGGCATTTTAATTCCTAATTTTAATTTTATTAATCTAACCCTTGACCAGAAATTATTCTGGAACTTCCCTGCCCGTTTATTATAAATACACGAATCTACAGCCTAGTGGATGACTTCGTCGAAAAAGAAATTTTCTTCGCTGCAAATGAATTTTGAGGTGATTTCATTCCTGCTGAGTCGAAATTATTTTTGTATGCGATTACTCGTTCAAATGCTTTTGCTTACATCTTTATTTTCAGGCAAGAGGGTTTTAATGGTCACTTCATAAATTTTAATAGGGACAGGGATCACTTATGAAGACAATTTAGATCTTTCTGTTTTTAATGCTTTATATCTCAGATTTTCGATTTAAGTAATGAGTTTTGTACCTAGCATCTAACTGAACCCAGCACATATGAAAAGAACTATGCCTTTTAAGGATGACCTAAATAATAATGGAACAGCTTTTTCATGCATCTTTGGTAGACTTCCGTACAGTTCGACAGTTTGATAATTGCGGTGGTAAGTAGTTAAGTGACGAAGTCTATCCTACACTCAATTGTGTTGAAGTAAACTTGTTTTACGTGCTTTTTTTATCATTAACCAATTTGTCTTTCAGCTTTTTCGTGAAGAAATAGTCAGCAGACAATAGTTTGATTTGAAGCAAAGCTGCCTACCTGATATAAACAAACAATTAGAAAAAAGTTAATCCTATTATTATTATTATTATTATTATTATTCATTCTTCGCGTTCCAATTGGAAGATAAAGCTTCAATGGCACATCTTCATTTTGTGCGGTTCTCTGTCATTGCTTCCAGCTGTCTCCATGACAGCCCACAAACTTTCATTTTTTCCCCACATTAAATCCTTCATGTTACCCCCAAAAGCCCAATTCGTCACTTCCCATACAGATTCCAGCCTGGCATCCGATGTCGCCCCCCTCAAAGTATAAACTTAAATTTATCTTCAGGTATTCAGGATGAGTTCTCGACTGTAAAATTTGTGAATACAAAGGTTTCCTTGATATCCATGTTTTCATATTTACTTTCGTAATAAAATTAATAAAGCCGATAGAATGATTATAAATTTATATATGCAATATTACAAATGTATTTTCCGATTCTTCAAACAATCGTAATAGCTATATTAAGAAGCAAAATTTTCTTTGCTTGCTTTCTTTCACATTCACAAACTCACACGTAAATAATATGTCTGCCAGTATCATGATATGACGTGTTCCTGTGTGTGCTGTGTGAAGTTTACTGGTGAAGCTATTAATCATGACCACTGAACTGGTCAGTTTATCTCAATGAAAAATGGAGTTATGCTCTAAATGTCTGTATGTTTGAATTTTCCATCAGACAACTACGTAATTTTCTTAACTACTTCAAGGGTCAGCTGATGGTAAAAACAAAAACGTTGGGAAGTCATTCAGGCAGACATATATAGGATTATTAATTAATTAAAATCTAGACACATTTATGATAATAAATCTCAGTAACCTAGCAACATGCCTTTTCCCATTAGTGCTTATATCATAACATACTATATTCGACTGTATTTACCTGACTGAAAGCAATGAAATATAAAATTCTGCTGAGTGAGAGACGGTGAATGCAGATTCCTAAGTAGCCTAAGCGTAACAGCACAGACACAAGTAGAATTAGACAGACGTCCTAGATTTCAATATAATTCTATTTATTTTAAAGAATTTATTTTATTGGGCTATCAGCATAAAAGTCAGCAGTCTCTATGATGTCTGTGACTAACTCGCCTACAGTCACCATTAGGTCATTTCTACAATTCATCCACTTACGACAGTATTATTTCATAGAATTCATTTATCAATTCTAAAAGTCCATTGTCTCAATTGATGCATCGAATACTTGAGTTATTTTTAAATTAAGTGGTTCAAAAATAAATTGTTCTAGAGAAAACTTTTTCCACAATTTAAACTTAACTCTTTAACTCTTCTTAATTATAAAATGCACTTTAACAAGATACTTGTGATTTTCATTCATCATATTAAGGTTGCTTTTGACTTGCCCTTAAAACATTCTTTTTTTATTCTGCCTTTTTTATCCTGCAATCAGTCAACACAATAATGACAGTACAAAATTGATAGAGTTAATTTTATTGCGTGCATTCACTAATAATGCTTCCAGTGAATTAGATTATTTGTTCACTTTTTCTATTTACCTCTTGGATCAATCAATGAAAAGTGGGGGTAATAAGTGTAATTAATTAGAGGAAAGATAATAATAATGATGGTGATGGGTGAGGGGGGACGGGTTGCGGGTGAGTGATATGACACTTTGTTTCGCACATAAAGTTTATTTAGCAGGTTGGTATTATAAGAATGTAGGCAACTAAAATCTTACAGATAATCATATTTCTTTAGAAACACAAAACTGTAGTGTTTATTATCAAATGCTTGGAAATTCCCCTTTTTGATTAAAGTTCAAAAGTTCTTAAATAAGTCTACACTTGGTTAATAATAGAGGAGAGAGAATTTAATTTTCAATAAACCAAGCTAACAGTATGAGCATCAATCACTTTATTAAAAAAAATTTCTCCAAAAAATGAGTGCAGTGTGATAGTCTTGGTGACTTAATTTATTACAGAATAAAACTCCATCTCGTATTTTACATACACACACACACACACATTTTTATGTATCTTGAAGATCACTACCTTCACTCGATACTGAAGATCAGATGGCCTATCCGGCAGGATAAACAACAAGGAACTCTGGCAGGTGGTTAACCAGCTATGAACCCATTGCCCAACAAATATGCATGCACTCTGAGAAGGTGACAACGCATGATATGCAGGCCCATTAGTGGAAGTCGAATGGGAAGCGTCAGTTTAGGCTCACGTGGAGGAGTTGATGTGAAGGGAAAATGGTAAATGAGCCAGCTGAAAGTGAATGCACTGAAGCGAGTGGAATGGAGGTGTGCCAGTGAAGCCTAGGAAAGCAAGGAATAATTAATGTACTATACAATTACATAAATGTATCCCCTTCTCCCGCTTAACCACTACCTTAAATAATACTAAACTCCGCAAGTACACTGAATAATGTAACGATATTCTTTTGGCAAACACCCATGTCTCTTGGTCTGTGATGAATAACGACAAATCTCAGGTAAATAAAAGTGTTATTTTAATTTTCAAACAACTAACCTTAGTTTGATCTAATTCCGTTTTTATATGTTCACTTGCCAAACGTTCAATAGGGATCCATTTAAGCGTTACTGATTCAGCACTTTTTACTTGAGCAATGGCATCATTTAATAATGAACCGAAATTGGACAGACGCTATTTTTATTAAGCATAAAACAAAAGTTTAAAGGAAAAAAAGCCAATGAAGACATCCAGAAGGTAAGAAAGGTCTACTGGAAAATAAACATTTCATCATTCTACGTCAAAATAGCTTCATAGAATACCATGTTTATTGCTACAACTAACTGTTTCCAGTATATATTAGCTATAACCAAGATTAATGCATACATGTGATTTCCCATTGGAATCGTTTTGAACCAAACTGATAGGTAGAACTTCTAACGTCAGGTTGTTTATATGTTGGCGGTTAGCAGTGGAATCTAAAACACGAATTTCATAGTAATCTTGAAGAATCTATCAACCAATGTCAGCCCACGATGAAATTCTGTAACCAGTAAACCAAATCCCTACAAACCAATACTTGAATATCAATGAGATGCTCACTAGCGACTGGCTCTATTAAGGTAGGTAGTTACCTGGGGTTCTAGTGGGAAGTCGTGACCAGTAGGGTGCAGCCGGTCGGGTGTGAGGACAAATACTCACCGAAGACATTGGCTAGGGGTTGAGTTATGTCGTAAATTGCCAGAAGTTAGAATTCATGGGCTGACCATTGGATCGGGTCCCAGTGAGTGGCTTAATGGTCTACGAGCTCTCCTTGTAACCAGAAGGTCCTGGGTTCGAACCCCGGTGAGTGAGTACTGCTGAAGATTCTCATACTAGGCTGATGAAACAGCTGTCTAGTACTCCCAGGTTTTCCAATGGTTCTCTAACCAATGATGAAAAAATTCGGATTATTTTGATCAAAAAAGATGTCAGCTGGTTGTTGCACATATATAAAAATAATTTCAAACTAAACCTATTGCACAAAAGGGTGGCCTTTATGGCTTATTAACCTACTGGATAACAGTCTAGTATTTTAATTGAACAGTTCTGAATTCAAGTCTCAATGGGAAGACGTTCAGTCACTGAAATGTAGATATGTACGTGCGGAATTCCACTGCTAACCACCAATGAACAATAAACCTCGAATAGTCAGCACTACAATAAAAAGATGCATTGTCTAAGTGCTTACGCATTCAAACATAGTTGTTACTAGGTATCTAATTGGGTTTGTTAGTCTGAAGTCACTTTAATTAACTTTCTCATATGTGTCTAAGGTACGTACGTAGAAATTTAAAACTAAAATAACTACACGTTATTTTACAGAAAGGAAGACTTATGAGTCAGCTACAAAAATTGAAAACGCTTTCTTGTTATCGTGTTTAGAAGAACTGAACTACACGTGAATAAAATTCCTTTCAAATATCTAATGAGTGTACTTTAGCCTTTTCTGAATAATTCTGCAATAACAGATAGCATTTCTGAGTTTTAAATAAAAAAAATCATATTACCTCTTAGAAATTCACTTATCAATGTTTAATCAACAAACATTGTTTGCCACCTATTGTCTAATGATTCCTAAATATATATATATATATATATATATATATATATATATATATAATATTGGTGATACTGAAACTTGCCTCCCAGATAGCATCAAGTTGACATTTAAAGTCTAGCATGCTATTATTCAAGTTCAACCATCGTTTCTTCAAGTGATACAAGTGTCGCCTTATCCGACGATTTGTACGCATAGCACGATCTTCTGCAGTGCATTGTTCACTTCCTCCACTGGTTGGTTTACTTTGACCTCCTGAATCAGATGCTTCAGACTCTCCATCATAATCACGTTCACTTGATTGCAAGTTAGCCAATTCGTCTCGCTCTGTACTACCGCCACCACCACCACCACCACTGCTGTACTGTGCATTTCCATGGCACAGGACTTCTTCAATTTGTAAACGATTCACATTCAATTCTTGAAATAATCCCTTTATTTAATTTTTTTTAAAATTTAAAATAAGAAAAGTAAAGAAAATAGCAGGAATAATAAGGATACCTCAAAAAGGTTGTTATTGAGAAACACTGTATTTCATCCGTAAGGCATTGTACGAAAAAAACAATAAAGCGAAGTGAAAAATTTAAAAGAAATTAGAGATTAAAATTCACTTATGAATAAATTTAATTCGGATCCTGATCATGTGACATTTAAGGGAATCAAAGAAATAAATACAAAGGTAGGGAAAACCACTTCGTTCATTTCACGATAATATTTGCTCTAAGTCGTGGGAATTTTGAAGAAGAATAATTCTTAGGCTAAAGCAGATATTCAGAAAACTGAATTGTTCTTGTTTTGAGAACTGCTACTTATTCATATCAAGCAAAACTTTTAGTTTTTTCTTTGCCACTTTGAGTGGAATAACTATGTTCTTATCAAGATTTGTATTTTATGTACATCTATACAACGCATCAAATTATTACAGAATGGATACTTTTAGGTTGTAATTTATTCAGTTTACAGGTTTACTTTGTCGGTTTATTCTAAGAGCAGTTTGATTCAAATGACAGTTATCAAAAATAGATTAATCAAGTTAATCTGATAATCTGGCTAGTACCCATATGATATAACTGAATCTCATTACTTGGAATCGATTGCACTAGCTCACATCTATGCATGCCTTATTTGTTTATCACTAACATTATCATATTCGTCCAGTTACAAAGTTAAAAAGTAGTTTTTGTCTATGCGTTGGATAGTGTCTGTTTGTTTGTGTGTATATGCTGACATCTAAACACCTGCTAGAAAACCCGTAACAACACGAGTATCGGAGCATTCATAATTCCCCATATCAGTGATTATCGCATTATTCTTCACTTTATTTATTTATGTTCTATATTTCACATAACTGTAGCTCTAACTTATGTCAAGAGAACATAAACAATGTTAGTCATGCTCTTTTTTAATGTAGCTGCATTCTGGAAACGACGCACTCGACATTCATCAATTCTCAATGTAATACAATGATGTATTTCGCGTTTAAAGTTGGAAAAACACCCAGTTAACATTCAGCTAATATTGGTAACTCAGTAAGTGTATTACAAAAAAGTGTTAATTGTTCAAATGCATCAACCATCAGGATTATTTTTCCTATCATCTGACTTCAGTCGACCTTCGGTCCTACGTATGGACACAATGTAAAGAAACACTAAACCTAGGGATTAGTATGAAATGTATCTGATTAGGTAATATATGGGTTTTGTTTCGAATGCGGTTTATTAGCTCAGGTCGTTAACATCTGCACGATTAGTGGCTTGAAGGATGTAGTTAGGATACTGAGAAAAAAGGTTCATATTAACAAATGTACTCCGACAGGTTCTCGATACCTTTCTGTAAACGTAGAACATCAAACAAAAAAATATTTGAAAGCGACACTAGGAAGACGATTATAAGTATGTTTTCCATTCAAGCGAACTGAAGCTTTGCATTCAATCCGAATGATTCTCGGAAAAACGTTCCCTCGAAGTTATGTTTTCGCATTCCTTTGTGTTCTATGGGGTCAAGCTTTAAAGTCTCAGGAGCGGTGGTGTTCTTTTTATAGCGTGAGGTTGTCAGCTTCAGAGGATCATTACCGAAATATTTTTTTGATACATAGCAAGAGGTTAATAAAACTCCAACTATCACCATTCTATTTCAAGAGCTGATGCAGCTCCCAGAATTTTATACAACTTAGTTTAACAAAAATACAATTTTACCAAAGTGTCGTCTAACTAATATTATTGAGGAAAATTTCTTTAGAAGTTCAATTTAATTGAATTTTAATGTATTTAATCGATTTAACAACAACAAGGGTGATTTAAAGATAAGGAAGATGACGATGTGTAGCCTGTTGAACAAAGTTATTCCGAAGGAAAATTAAAATAGCTGTGATTTTCTTTACTAGTGTGTTAAAATAATTTGTAGATGCTTTTCTGTGCTTAATAAGAAAGGAAAAAACAAATAACAAAAGAGGAATTTATGAAGTTACTTCTCTCCACTTATCCTTTTTTGAACACCAAAAGTTTAGTCTTCTTTTGTGAGTCATTCGTTTACCCTAGTCATGAACTCCTCATCTCAGAGAGAAATAACAAATCTATCTATCTATTAATCAGTTGACTGACCACTAACCCACATCATCTATTTACTTTTTACAACCATCCTTATTCTCATTAGGTGCTGATGTAATGCATACGTGTTGGAAAATAAATATAAGTATTTAGTTATAGGATACTATTCACATTATTCTCTTTTCATCTTTAAAAATATTTAAGGAACCTGATGCTTTCTCAGCATACACTTTAGTAAATATATGCAAACAAGATCCAGCGCTTATAAACACGCTTAATAGCTTAAGCCAGTAAATTCCAGGATCAAATACAGCCTCGCCTACTTGAGGTAGTAAGATAAGTCCTCAGACGACACGTGTGGCTCACAACCTGCAACATCAAAGACCTGTTCCGAGGGCTGTAGTCTAATTGGACTGTTTTAAATAATAAATAGTCTCGAAGATTGTGACTAAATAGCCATCCAGTGTATCTCGCATGATTATTTCTTTCTTAGACTGAAACACGAATAAACAATTCGATGGGGAATCGTAAACATCGGAAGAAGAAAGCTATACATCAAGGGTACTGAAAGACTCATCCATCCTATTTCAGACTTATTTTGCAGTGTCTACGCACCTAATAACTAAAGGGTATGATTGAGGACTTCAATTTCACACCAGACACGTTACCCTCCATTATTATCTTCATTGTTTTAATCTGCACATTACTAATAATGATTGGGTAAAACGAAACACAGAATGCCTAACATAGTAGTGGAGTCGCTGAAAGTCCACTATAAGCATTTCTGATCACACGCTTCTAAGAGTGGTAACTCCAATATTCTCTGGAAATGACATGTAATATATTTCAATTGAATTCTAGATTTTCCCATCGGTTGATTGGACCGAAGTGCTCGGTCTCAGATTGACATGTCGACTTCTCGTGCAGATGCTTCGACGATGTCTGGGTATTTAATTAGAATTTAATTTGTGGATGGTGACTAGCAGTGGAATCCAGGATGCGCATTTAGTCCAATTTGGGGCTCGTCAGTTGGATGTATCTGCATTCCGCAGTGAGTGGTGATGTTCCCATAGAGGCACTGAGTTCGAGCCTCGAGGCTAGAACTTATCATACTATCTAGCAGTATATTGCATGGAAAAAAATATTTTAATCACGTTAGAAAGGGTGAACTACTGATTGTGACTATTATAACTACTGTTATTTTGGATTCCCACTAGAACATAAGAATTCAGCAACATATCTCCACTTCACTCGTGGTTTCCCATTCGGGTAATTGTGCCTATAAGCTAAATAATTTCGCTAAATCAATATAGTTTTTCCTAGATAAGTTACCTTTAACTTTGATAAAATACATACACACACACCATCTTTATTACCTCACAATACTTTCTTTTTTGGTTGTTACAACCTCTTCTATTTTTCCCACTCAATGTAAATCAGTGATTCTGGGGCACAGATTTTCAGCAAAAATCTATGAAGGTGCCATTTTTTTAGGTTAAACTCTTCGGAAAATCACTTATTATCAACATGAGAAACATACTGTATGTAAGTGAACTAAGAGTGCACTAAACGGCTCAACCAGGTGGAATGATTGTATAAAACACACAATGAAAAGTAATCGAAGTGAAACAGTAAGTAGGATGTTTAATGTGTTTAAGATCAGATGTTATAAATGGTAAAATAAAGGTTGTAACAAAGTTAAATTTAAGATATTCCACACACACACACACTTGTTCGCGATGGGAAATGCAAAAGGATAATTAGTTACTAATCTCCATTATGTGTCTGAATGCATCTGTCGATTAAAACATTTTGAAAAATGAAAGTCCTGTAGGCTATTTGAGGCATGATAATACTGCTAACAAGAGGACTTAAATTGGCTATTGATCGTTCGAGTTAATCCCATAGAAACAAAGTCAGTTACTTACATATCTATGAATATCTTTATAAGATTGTGATGAAACAGATAGAAGTTTTCCTAACGAACATCACACCATAAGCTGGACGTATGCACAATCAGTCAAAACCAGATGGTCCATCAAAACTAAAACCTAAGTTGAAATGACTATTGCAGAAGCTAAGAATCTGGGGGAATACAGAACAGAAATTAAGCACCAAGAAACGAAAGACAATGTGCATCACACTTCTTTTGTTTAGATGCGTATGTGTATTGTTGTCTCTTATTTTGAGGTAAGCTGATTGGTTTCCAATTTAGTTTTGGTAGTGACTACGCGTTTTCAAGACAATATGAATGACACCATTTGGTTCAGCTTCACCTTAAACTGTACCTTGAAACTTTAGTTTTGATTGGCCAAAAGAGTTTTGAAGTTGACATTATTAGCTCTGTGCGACAGTGGTCAACGTTTAGGATAAAAGCAACCAAAGAAGTTGTATGATATAATTCATAACACCTAACTATTATCCTGTATAGACATACATTTATTTCTAGTTAAATCTTGTAATGTTCATCTGATTAGGAGGTGATCAATGTCAGTGGAGTGCTATCTTAAATCATTGTGCTAGTCAATGCCACCACATTTAATGGTCTCCTTTGTGTGTCGGATATTTATCATTGCTACACAGGATCTAAATATGCTCATTTTTCATTACTCATCCATGATCTAAACAAACAATTTGCTTTATACATTGTTACCTGACTACTTTGAAGGAAGGTCATTAAGCTAAACACAATATCAGCTCATAATACCGAATTAAAGTGATGTTACACCCAATAAATAACAAGGATACGTAATCGTTAAGTCAGTTTGAGCGTTTAGATCTGCCAGCTGTTCATCGCTTAATACTGCGGAACTTTTTCCTCTCACTCATTATGCTACTGATTGATATGAGTAATCGGAAACTTCTCGTGAGAGCCATTCATATTGATATGAAATGATCTCTGTTTCCACATGATTTATAGTATCAGGATCACAGCATATTGTGATCTGAATATTTTGTAATTCACAAACAAAACGGAGTTAGACATGCTTCCACATGCAACCTTTTACAAACACCTTGTTCAAGTTTCGTATTAGCTAGGCGAGTGTATACCATTTGGATCTGGATTCCTTCAAGGAATATACAATTAGACATCGTTTTGGGAGTTAGAAGACTTCACTGTTCCAAAACTCCAAGGCAAATGACTAGAAAAGCCCAAATTCGTTTTGTCTAGGTCATTACAAATGTGTTTAGATCACTTATCACTGTGTTGTTCAGTCATCTACCGTTTTAGATAGGTTTATCCAACGAAGTAAAGCCTACCAAATGTTGCTCAATATTTTATGCCCTACTTATTAATAGTTAGTGACGTTCATTTCATGACTCCAATGAGTAGAATTACGAGGTATTCGATGCAGGAACTGACAAAAGATGCTAGTATTTATTGAATTTCTAGTAGTTCCTCATACTAAAAATAGGCCCAAGCATTAAGTGAGAGATACTGTACAAAGCAATACTCAGTTTATGGAGCAGGGGGATTGCATCCGAGATTATCAGAGAAAATCTATCATGCAAACGTCATTTGAGAATGAATTTTCAACTTCTAATTAGTGTAAACTTCTTCAGTATCATGTAATACACAATGATATTGTTAAACAAAAGAAATCGCGTTTTTCAGTACAACTCCTTATTGTAACTAAATAACAATGACAGAGTTAAAATAAACTTGACTTACTAATAATTGTTCTCTCAAATTGATCACATTACCTAAATCACCCTGAATTGGTACAAGAATTTCACGAAATGCAGCATCTCTATGCGATAGCCAATCGTTTAGTTCCTTTAATCTGGCTAAATATAAACTTGCATTACTTGAACTCGAGTGCATTGTACGTCTGTTGACAAGAGAGTGTATATTTAAAAAAATAAAAACATAATAAAAACTGGATGAATTATTGTAAAGGAAATATCATTAGTGAAACATTATTTTCAGCACAGATTCTTAGTTGGTCTAGACTGACAGTACAACACAGTTGACTGAACTATTCAAGCACAGAATTACAAGTGAGGAAGGATTTGGACACAAATTTTATAAGTGCATTTGAATAATCTGGCAACATGTTTTATACCATCAGCCATTACTTCTTCTTCTTCTTCTAGGCTGATATAATGCTGAAGAGAATTCCATTTTCATTGCACTCTGTGAATACTTCTTTTAACTCGCATTTATGTTAGTAGTGATTGAGATGACAGTCATTCTGTTGGATTATAATGAGTAAACTAATTTTTGGATTATGAATAGTGTCACTTTTGTTAGCAATGATAAGCAGAGGAGGAAAATGTCAATTGTGATGAATCATGGTATTTTAGTACAAGGTTGTAAAATCTATATTAGAAACTTCAGAGTTGAGTCTTGTCTGTCAAGATAACTCAAACCACGCCTAACATTCAAGCCAAAGTTATCATCATGCTTATCTCGGTAGTCATCATTCATGTGTACAGCTCAAGTCAAAAAGCCTTCTCCTGTTCCCATTCACAAAAGAAAATATTAGTGTCAGTATTCCATCGGAACAACACTTCCTCTGACATTGAATAATTCCTTATGAAGACAAGCTGTAAAATTCATTTGCAAACTGATTAAATCAGTCAGTTATGACAAACAACAGTATTGAGCCCTTACTATTTGGTTGTATGGGTTAAAGAACAGTAATAAAATTAGCAGAGTTGTAAAATGTTGAACTAGAGGTTTGTAAACAAAGACATAACAGTCTGTTTCAAACACAAATTGACTTCTGCGCATATTGTTTAACAAGTTTTATGTGCAGCCTTATTTAAACTAATGCAAACGACTTGATCGGACATTACTGAATGTCGAACATAATATTCTGAAGATGGGAGTCAACTAAATGGGATATCCAACTGACTGAATTCTTCAGGAAAGAGAATTCCACAGCATATAAATCGAACTGTAAGTAGCATGCAACAATCTCTCTACAAACTTATAGATTTTTTAGCTTATGAACAGTGAGTAGGATGAGAAATTTTCCACAACACTTTCGTCGATAAATATTTTCGTTCTTTCAGATGGAGAGTGAACCGCTTCGTGTATGAGTACTGTTGTCGGCAAACAGTAACCACATGACTACAGTGCCAACAGTTATTTAAAATTAAACTACTACTGCTATCAGTCATGGAAACGTTGCCTACTTTACTGTCCAGTTCAAAGCTCAGGGAATCAATCCAGTCGCTACAGCAAATTCAAAGCACAATATAATATGAACTTATTCTTCAATGTAATCAGATAGACCAAATGACTAAGACCTTCAGGAAGCTGGTCAGGCGATGTATCTACTTTCGATGAAAGCAAGAATAAGCTTGGGGACATGGAATATCTGTAGGATGTTTGAAATTAAGTAGACTACTCAGATTGCGAAAGAAATGCGATATAGTGTAGAAGTGTTAGGAACCTATGATAGCAGAAGTCTTGAATGTCATAAACTTAGTGAAAGCCGAAAAAGCAGGAGGATCAGAAGAAATTCCTTCAGAAGCCCTGTAAATGGGTCGAAAGACCACAGCAAATGTGCTAATGCCACTAGTGCAGAAGGTTTTAGAAAGAGAGGAAGATAACTATCTATCAGAATAAGGAGAAAACTGTCGAACCGCTGAAGAAGGGTGTCTTGAGCCTATATAAGAAAAGGAGCGACTGCATTATTTTGTCCAGCGCAAGAGAAATATAAAGCCACATACCCCTGGAAAGAGCGAAAGGTGCTCTTGATAAAAACGCCAACCAGGAAAAATCTAAATTCAAAAAAGCAAATCACATGCGGATCGAATTGCAAGGTAGGCATTATAGTCGAAGAAAGCATAGAATGGCAGTCAAATACCTATCTCAACTTTATCGACTTAGAAAAGGCCTTGAATAGCACTGATCGTGAAGTAATTTGCAAACTGCTTCAAAACTGTAGAGTGCCCTGAAGCTTTAGCAACAAAATCCAAGAGACGTATAACAATACCACATGCCAAGTGATTCACTGAGGAAAGATCAGCGAAGCCCTTGAAGTAAAGATAGAAATAAGGCGGGGGTACTAACCAAATCAGACCTTCAATGCTCCAAAGTCACTGTAGAAATGTGCTGCACTCAGCTTAAGGAACAAGAATTGGATTCTCAACATTGATGTCGAGTCAGTTCTCCTAAATGGTTTAGAGACTTGGTGCATCAGCCAAAGCACTTCCAGTGGTCTTCAGATATTTATCAATAGCTGCCTTTCCTTCATACTGAAGATCAGACGGTCAGAAAGGATTGGCAACAGGGAACTCTGGCAACGAAATAAACAAGAAACTGCTGCCCATCAGATATGCCGAATAAAGTGGAGATGGATCTGAAGCATTCTGAGACTACTGAGTGGCATGGCGCCCCAGACCAATAAGCAGGACCCGAATGGGGAGTGACAAGGTGGACACAGGTCCGAGAGGCATATGAAGGAGATGAGAACATATGCCCAATTTCCGAGCCAGATAAAAATGACTTCAGAGGATAGAATGAACTGGACATGTGCTGTTGAAGCCCTATGCTCTACTAGGAACCCAAGGGAATAATAATAATAATAATCGATCAAGGATGTGCAGATGCGTCGGTGGCAAAGTGGTTAGGCACTCGCCGACCATGCACATGGTCCGGGGTTCGATACCTGACCGATGCACAGTAAATCGACCCTTTCATTGTTCATCTTTCTGTATTTTATGGTGTCACCCTTTCTGTCGTTTAATTATTACTATTTTATTTTAGTTGGTATTACTATTATTACTATAATTTTATACTTTATGCATATTTTTCTCCGTATTGCATACAGTAATATGGCTTTCACTAGCAGCCATTACTCGATCACAGCTTCTACCAGTTGGTAGTATAAATCATGCAGTGACAATCCAGCCGCATCACGATTATGTAACACTTGCCTTATAACATGTAATTTAGTAATACGCGTACCAATAGAGGACAATGAAGAAATCTTCCCGATCGCTGAATGACAGACCAACTATAATACATTGATCTACAGACTTCAAGGAAATCTATGGATTAAGTTATGACATTAAACATCTCCCTACACTGCATTCTTCAGGACCGGTAAGCATATCATCAGCAAGTGAAACTTTTAAAGATAATTCACCCAGGCATAAATCTGAATGTTAGTGGTTATGGACAAATCGACCTATCCTAAGTGAGAACCACTGGTAATTTGAAAAGATATATATTCTTACACTGCCTGTTAATTTCCAGTAAATCACTTTAATGCCATATTTAAATTAATAGTACTGTTTTGTCTGTCTGGATTCAACATAGAACTTGGCACCGAAGTGCAGTAGTTCGAGTTGCCAGTACAGTACTGTTCAATACAAAGTAATAGGGTAACTATTTTTTTCTAAGTGATTCAGGATAAATCCTCATGAATGAAGATGCGGTCTTATTGTGTAAGTTGAGCATCATATATGATGATTCTGTTACCTCAATGTGAGAAGCAATTTACATTGAGTTCTTCTCACAGGCTAATGCAATAATCCTGAGACGTACATTAACTTTTACTGCTCCTTTTGTGATCAGAATAACTAGTTCGATTTTCTTCAGCGTTCATCAACTAACTTAAACTTTGTGGAGCAGATATCAAATGAAAGTTTGAAAGTAAGACGAATTCCTTTCATTGAACAAGAGTGGTATTACAGCATCCGTTAGACTATCTTCACAATTTGGAGCTAGTTTTTGCCATCTCATCAAGTGTACAGTGAAAATAAAAACCATAATTTTAGTGGGTACTATGTGTGTAAGACAAGTCTCTTATTTGTTTAGAATAGCTGATAAACACGAAGAAGGTTTCACTGAAACAGCTTTGCTCAAGAATAAGGCAGAATCTTCTCATAGAAAAGCATCCTGAACACCTAAAATGCATAATGTTTTTTTACCATTTCGCTTCTATGCTGTTACAATACACTTTATTCCTGTCAAAATGGGACGGTGAAGTTTTCAATCCAGGAAACAAAACAAAGTTCATTAGTGTTCAAATACTTCTGACTTTAATGAGGTAGAAGTTTATATCATTAACAGCATGTTCCAGGAGACTTCATTAGAACTTGACAAATATCCTTTTAAAACTGTAATACATTAGAGGAATGTAAAGCAAAAAGAAAGAAAGAAAGACAGCAGAACAGCTGTCAAAGCATATTTCCTTTAATAAAAGTTTTACAGTGATTGAAAGTGTGTTCTAAACATTCTATGTAAGAATGTTGAAAAGCGAAAAACAAAGTTGATGGTAGAAGAAAAAGAAAGTATAGTCAACTGCAGAGTAACGAGTAATTTTTTTTGAGAATGATCTCATAGAAAAACTCTTTTTTCCAGCTATCTCATTGTTTTCTAGCATGTTGATTTTCAGGTTTTATGCTTAAAACTAGATAGATAGATCTCAGATAGCCAAATCTGAGATTCTCTGAATATTTGTAAATATGTGTACAAGTGCGTGCAACAGAGGAAGTCAGTGGGTGAGTGAATGTGTATACTTATGAATCAACAAGTTTGAATTGTTTGGATTATAAAGAATCTTTACGCTAATAAGAAAGAAAAGTATGGTAAGATTTAGTGAACTGACTAGATCACAAACTGAACGTAAATCATCCAATATTGAAATATTGAAAAAAAAAATGTCAGTTTTATGAATAATAAATAATACTTTGTTTATTTTTTTTTCAGAAACACGTAATATAAAAGAATAAAAGAAAAGTTCTAAAGGCAAATTGAGAAGTAAGTGAGTCCTAGAAAACTTAGTTGACAATTTAATAGCCATGAGTTTTACTCACAAGATTTGTATATTTTTGCGTATTAGCGTGTACGTGTGTCTGTGTGTGTGAGAGAGTGTGTGTGTGCCATGAACTGTTTGACTTTCTTTGATGACAAGGAAAAGAAAATATATATTTTTTTAAATATAAAAGGAAACAGTACTGGAAATAATCACGCAGGAGAAATTGACGGAGATTCACTGGTTTTAGACAAAACTAATGGAAAATTCAGGCGACGTGCACTGCATTAAAAATTAGGAAATGCTTTTTTCGCAATTGCATGAAGGTGACATTGAAATGACTCCGTAAGACCGATTTATCACAGTCAGTAGGGAATACTGTCAGGCTTGTCTAGGCTCATTGCAATTTCAAGTAATGGAATCTGAATGCCGTCAAGCGTTGAAGCTGTAAAACTGTGTAGTTGTTTCATCATGACTTACTCAGTGATACAATGGTATCATACTGATATCACTGCCATTCACAGGTGATATTATTTAGAACATAGGACGTATTCTATTTTATTCTCAAATGCTAGAGAAGCTAAGAAGCCTTGATCATGTTGCATTTATTTGGATTTATTATTGCCTTGTGTTCCGACCGAAACACAGGGGTTCAGCGACACATTTTCACTTCACTCTGTTCTCTGCAGTCCTGTTTAGCCAGTTCCATGACTGTCCATAAGGCATCATCTCTAAATACAACCTTCTCTACCTCACACTTGGACGCGGAACTCACGGTTTCCCATTTGGATTTCTCTCGTGCGCCCAGTGAGTGATGTTTCTTAAGGGTCTCCTCACGCGTGTCCAGTGCATCCCCATTTTCTTTGACATACTTAACAGGCAATAAGTCCTTGATTGGTTCCACACAGGAGCTCCTTGTTGATAATCCCTTCTCACTGGCCGTCTGATCTTGAGTATGAGGCAAGTGATGATGAAAATCTGCTGTCAGTTAGAAATGCTTTAGTATGGTCACCAATCAACTGGCACACTGACTACACTATTGTCTCACGAACACCTACAGTGTTACTTATTTGAAGTTATCCCGAAATGGCGCTACATCTGATGTCAGTATATTTCGCGGAAATTTTTACTGTTTCATTTCGCTTATTACATTCAAAGGCTCGTAGTTTTAAAAATAAATGTTTTTCTTGTATGTTTTTAAAGGCTTGATTTCACTCATAAACTGATAATCATGAATTAATAATTGATATATCCACTTTGAACTTTCCTCAAGTCTAAAGATGACAATTTCGCTAAGAACAACCATCTACATTCAACTGAATACTTTAAGAGGTTTTATTTAATTATTTTCTTTAGATACCTTTCAATTTGATGTGTAACAGTTAAAGGTTGTTAATAGAAAGTCACGAACCAAGATTTTCGATTCCGAATATTCACCAGTATAGTTTATACACACTCTGAAAGGAATTTATTTCCTCCCATATATTTTAGTTCACATTTTGCGAACCTCACACCATAGGAAATACCACTGAGACACTAAGATTACTACGAATTTCATGTAAAATGAATAACCATTCTAAAGAGAGATCAACAGAAATTTAATTCAGCTAATGAGATTCGATATGACAATCATGTTTATAGATTGACCATTGAATAGCTTAAGACCCTATTTCTGAACCCCCTAATAAATGTGTACACCAAATAAAAATCAGAAAACAAAATATCAGATAAAGACTAATCGGCTAACTTGTCTACCACTAAGTGATGAAAATCAGTTGGCGTGGAAGACTAGACCAAAGGACATTAACTACTGTTTAGTGACTGTTTAGAGTGCATAAATCCTTATTTAGCAAGTTGCACAATCAGTCCATGAGGTTGTGTGTTATTCATCACCGTGACTATATATGCAAAAGCGCTTTGTAACTAAGTGGTTTGAAGGTTGATTATAGTCAGTCAACACTTAAATGGTTCATTCTGTGTATTTGTAATTGAAAATAAACCTTCTCGCATATGTGTGTATGGTTGTTTCCTATATATATATATATATATATATAAAGGGATTTTCCTCTCACTATTCAGAAGATGGTGCGTCGGTGGCATAGCGGTTAGGATGTTCACCGACCATGCACATGATCCGCGGTTCGATCCCCGGCTACCGACGCACTCCTTTACCTCACTAAGCCAGAAATAATTCTGGTTAAGAGGAAAGGTTAGGCATGAGGCTACCAACAACCCCATCCTATAAAAATAAACACTGCTGTAGAAACTTCAAGCCACTAGCTTGAGGCCCTATGTTTCACTGGGGAACGTGAAGGAAAAAAATTCAAAAGAAGGCTTATTCAAATTAAATAACCACTTCTGTAACGAAGACAGATGAATACTAACACTTTTTCAGTCGAAATGTTTGTGATTCCATTCATTACTGTTTGACTGTGTACGGCTTGTTAAAATCGAAGCAGTAATAATGTTTCCAGGAAAATTGTGATCGTTAGACAGGACTCTTTGAAAACTTCTCTTGCGCTCGTCTGATGTAAACAGGGAAGTGGAAAAAGAAAATCACTGATAATCATCCAATTGATAATATTCATTTCCTTCTATATCAAACTACTTTGAAGTTTCAGATGTTGCCAAGAGAAAATTGTGAGTCAACTCAAGCACCCCGTTTACACCTTAAGAAGCACCAGCTTCCCCTTTCCATAAGAAGGCTTTCAAATAAATTTGCACATTCATCTGGCAGTGTTATCTAAAAGGGCTACAGTCGTAGTACATGAGGTATTTTTGGTAAAGAAGCCTGTGCTAAGACGGTTATGTTCATTTTTCTTTGAATAAATGAATCATATTTGATAGTCTCATATAGAACAGAACGCAGTACTTGATCTGAACCTTTCCAAGGTTTTGTGTGAAGTAAATCCTGAAACTGACTATCGTATGCCTGAAAAACCAGAAACACCCAATAAACATAATTTTTAGCATGACTTGATTTTTATTTCACTGAATGACTCAAGAATCAACTAACTTACCATTTGATGTTTCTTAGAGTTTTGTGTTCAATTCACAACTCTCTTGAATTCTTATTTCAAAAAGTTTGAACTGTGTTGAAAATTGTATCACTTTTTACTGAGATTCAACAACGAAGCATATTTCAAGTTAGATATTTTTACAATTGTACCCAGGGTCGTATTATGTTTAACAGCACGAATAAATGTTCAAGCTGTAGGAACTACCAAAATGACTAACACAATAAAAAAGCAAACAAATCGGACAAATATTTCGTTTCGACTTCATGTGGGTGAAGACACTTACCGCAGGTTGGCAATTTTATCTCTTAGTTGACGCAGACGTCGGAAGAACTCTTGATTGGGTAAAACATTCAAAGCTTGAGCTGATGATTTGGCGGTACTGGCAATCTGTGTTGCAATCATGTTTATTTCAGTCTGCAATGTCTACAAAAATACAAGTGAAAAACAACAAAAAGGAAACTATTGTAAAGTCTTGGCTGTTGGAAAACGTATTTTCGGCATTGTAACCAAGGTTACTATCTGTGTAAACACATACTATTTTAGAATGGTAATGACTTCTTTCGAAGGAGATTTTCCAGGCTTCTATTGATCAACTAAGTCATGTCTGGTGACAAACGCTGAAAATGCCAACAGATAGTAGTTGTGATATCACAAGAATTTATGGTGACATTATTCATTATTCAAATTGCTAACGTTTACCCAATGAATTTTGTTACGTGTAATGTAGAATGTCCTAATCACAATCTGCCATCTCAGGAAAAATCAAATTACCCAAGACAGTTTGATAGGAAACTTAGTTGGTTTGATTTATTGAAGAAAACAAGGTTCACTTTTTAACACAAAGATGAACATTCTACTGTATCTGTCAACTTACGCTTGTGTGTGTGTGGGTGGGTGGATGGGTGTGGTTGAAAATACTTGGATAGCAGTAGTCGCAACAAGTAGTTGAGGGCCACGTGCTTACGCAAATTCAGGCACAAATGCCCTTCAAAGATCGTATGAGTTTAAACAAATTGTTTAGAAGAAAAATAGTACAAAATGACATTATTGTGTGTTCGCTACACTTTTGCGTAACAAATACCTTGGTTGGCATTTCTTTTTAGTTGTTGCCATTACTAATTACCACTTCTCAATGCAGCAGGATTCAAATCTCGTTAGTTCATTATTTTTTCCTTCTCTGATTATCTTTCCCACTCTTTACCTTTCTTACTGGCCTTTTGAATTCTCATTATGAACAATTTGATAAATTCAGTTTAGGATCAAACTATTTGAAGTGTATACAGCACTTATGCATTAAGTGTTGTTGTATAGGTTTTGTCTTTTTTGTTATCTCCATCTCAAAGAAAAGTTAGTGATAATTAAATTGGAAGAACGGAAAGAAGGGTTTCTATCCGGTTTTCTGAACATAGTCCAAGAAACCTATGTCTGAAAGGAAGCAAATATTCTCAGACTGCAATTACCAGACATCTCGAAAAGATTTCTAAGTCCTTAAAAATATTTAATAGACAAGAGAGAGCAAATTTACTACGATTTACCAAAGCGATCGCAACCAAACGATTCAAACCAGACTTATGCATACAGAAAGAGAGTGTGATTAATCTCTCACTCCCTTGGTAACTGAATTTTGATTTCGCTTTTCATTACATTAATTAGTCATTTAATTCAGTGATCTCAACTCATTGAACAAATCTTAATCTTATAAATTGTAACCGCTTTTGTTTTTTTGAGTTGATATGTGAACCTACAAGCTAACGCTGTTTTGTTAATCAGTTTTTTCTGTTTTCTGTCTTACCCTTACCCCCTCTTTTCAACTTTGAAAGCGTATTAACTGATGATGAAAACTTAAACTAAAATTTTAATGCTAACATTTTGGATGGATGAGTCAGTTTTATAGTGTCTCTTCTCTACTACCACTTAAACTTCAAAGGGTTATTCAAACTTGGATGGTAATGATAATGTCTGCACTAACTTCTTTTGGTGGCATAAGTTAGGCTTGTTAATATGGATCCCCATAGCCTCAGCAACATTTAGTAGTCGAAATCTTAAGGCGAAACTGAGATTCGTAGGTATGCGGTAAATGACCCTGAAAGCATGGTTTACGTCAATCTTGTATTCTGTCTCCACAAGATGAGACAGAATAGCGCTGCGAATGGATTTTGTTTGTCCTTTGCTTAACCAGGAAGGGTGATTGTTTGGAAATTCGACGAGAAACAAGCCTAATTGTATGGCCTATGTAACTGGCTCCACAGGAGCAGTTAAATTGGCAGATACACATGGAAGAGGCGAAATTAGGCAGTTTGTCTTTTATTCCCGAACGCAGAAGAGGAGTGGTTTTAAAGATACAGCGTAATTTAGCAGCAGGGAATGCTATTTTTACCGCATTTCTAAGGCGCTGTATTAGTATCTCACTGGTGTTGTTTCCATGGAACTGCATCTGCAAGAATAAGGCTTTTTTTGGAACTGTCGGTAACTTGGGCTGCTTTGGTTTCAGATTCAGATTCTTATCAATAAACTTTTCGGGATAACCATTTTCACTTAGTAACCGTTTATTATTGTTAAGTTCCTCGTCAAGACATTCGTCCGAGCAAATCTCTCTTGCTCTGTGGACCAAGCACTTTATTAGATTGAGTTTGTATTTCAAGGGCACAAAGTTGAGAAAATGTGTGTACTGGCCCGTTGATGTAGGTTTTCTATAAACACTTCTTCTTATTTTGCCGTCCTCTTTTCTGGTCATAAGGACGTCTAAAAATGAAATACTAGAGTCTTTTTCTTTCTCAATGATAAAATTTATTCCAGGATGTACCTCATTAAATTTATTGCTAACAAACATATCGCCACTTGATTGGTAAACTGCTGTGTATTGTAATAAAGATTCTATATATATTAGAGTAGAGCCAGAGATGAGGATCTAATTGAAAAGTAAATATTTCTTCGCTCAAACTTCCTGTTTTCTAAATGTCTAAATGGGGATTTTTTTTCTATATTGAAATTGAATGATATCATTTAATACTGCAAATTTCGTCTTCCTTTCTTTATCGAAAATTATCAAGGGAACCAAATGTATGAGACTAAATTTCCCTCCAAAGAATCATTATTCAAAAGTGTACTTCTCTTCTCTCACTGTTTTCAAGCTTAGAAATTTAAGTACCGGTGGCGTTGTTATCGTTCTGTTTACACATCCAACTATCCTTTCTTTCCCACTCTTACTACTGGTTAATTAACTAGGCAAAGTTTCAGAGTGTGTCGGCGGGGAATCAAACCACTTGGCTGACAAGAATTTCACCACTGAACTACAGATGTTATGTGCACAGTAACAGGAATTAAATGAGTCTGATAAATCAAAATAACGTCTGCCAGTACATTGTTTCCAGAATTGTAGCGAAACTGTGCAATATGTGGGGAGAGGCAGGCCAACAGTAAGAATAATGATTTCTGTCATTGAATAAATAAAAATATACAAATAAGATTCGTGAAAGAAAAAAAAATGAATGTATACAAGTAGTCAGTGAGGGAAAAAGTAATTAACGCAGATAATGATGACAATAATACCTACAGTGATTATAACAAGTTTATTGATGAAAATCACTCTAAAGCAGTGGATAGAAGGTAATAACTATGAATAAAGACTGAAAGTCGTGCTTGTGTACGCATCTAGACCGTTACATATAGCAGGATCACAGATATACCCTACTACCACTGCTATGTAATCACTGTGTACTAAGAGATCTCAGGACATTTTTTGATAAATTTACTCTGACCAATTAGTTACTTATATATTTGTATACTTGTTACACAACTATAACTCTGAATGGGTTACTCCTGGTACTGATTTGTCACGATGAAGTTTTACTCCCTGAATTGCATTTTGGTGATTCACACAATGAAATGATCTTTTAGTTTGCAGCAAGTGAACTGATCCAGCTTGGATCCAGGTTTCAAACAGCTCGGTTATTGTTTAACATCACTACAATACTGTACTATTTGTTGTTCGCAAAATGGCGAATCTTCAGTATTTTTAGCGTGAAAAAGGTGAAAATGGTTTGGTAAGCAAATGACAACTTTATTTTTCAGTCTCTGTAATCAACTTTCTCTTAAGTTTGGTTGCTTGGTCAAGCAGATAGGAGTGTGTATTTCTTTGTTTAAAACTAGTCACTGAATCGTTTTCACAGTGATGACACAGATACACTAGATCATTGCATAAATCTTAAGTATATGATGAGATATATGTTTTATTGTTTTCAGTGCAGTATCGGTTAGTTATCATTACGTTTCTAGCATTCCATAGCTTACCATTCTGACCACACTTATTGAATTTTTAACCATTCCATTCACTGTCAAAATCCTTGTAGGTATGATGCAAACCATTCCGGATTTTAGATTTTGCAGAAGTAAAGACAAAAGAGAGCTCTGGACAGATGCTTCATCTTAGCCTGAAACTCTTCAGCAGCGCAAATCCATGATTCTCTAAATGATATTGGCTAATGATGAAGTCTAAGTTGAAACTGATCCAAATCCCTACGAAACCGAAAATTGGAATATCGGTTTCCGGCTTATTTGGGGCTACTGAACAGATGTCCTGAACTTGCAATGACAAGTCACAGCCAGTGGAGTCCATCATGTCAGAGTGGAACGGATGCCCATCGATGGTGTTTGTCAGCGGTATCTCTATATCGCGAATTGCCAGAAGTTACAATTCACAGCTTACTAAATCCTTATCCAGTGGCTGAATGATTGAAAATCTGGCGTGGCAAGTCGAAAGTCCTGGGTCTGACCCGAGGTTGGGTTGTGGATGTACGATTCTGAAGAGTCTCGGATTAGAACGAAGTAGCTATCCAGTGTTTTTCAGTTTTGAGGGATTCTGCCATACCAGGAGATAACATATTATGAGTCACTTTTCCACCAACGTGACTTGTAAGCCAGAAAACTGAACCTAACGTAGACAGTGGATTTTAATTAGCACCTGCCAACCAATCAAAACATAGTTATCTTATCTATAAACTTTATTGTAGCCGTCTTCATAATCTGTATAGAATTTTTCTAATGATTTTCTCCTCTCTTTGTAACTTTCACTTGATGGGATTATTGGATTACGATCACTGCTAGAGCTGATTCAATTAACTTATTTGTGTATTGGTAGTCTTATACAGTTCGTTCATCTATTCTTCTTAGTCACTTTTTTACAAATTGTTGCTTATGCAATAACCTGGTGTTATCCTCTACAAATTAAGTGATCCTGAATTCTGTATTTATCTTCACTTCCAGCTGTGCATCAACATATATATTCTTTTGTGTGTCTTGACTAACAGTCTGTTACCATCTTCTATCTTGATTGTTGTAGACACCCCTCCTACACCTTAAAACTTATGATTCTTATTGTTACTAGAGAACAAATTACTGGGATAATTTTGGTGTAAAGCTATATAAATATAGAGTCATTGATGAAGAACTAATTGAAAAGGAACATATTTACTCCTTAATTAATTGTTTTTCTAATTATGTGGAAATAGGAATTTGTAAATTATTGATTACTGTAAAATAACTATATGGTTGTAATTTCAAGGATTATTGCTTTTTGCATGGAGAAATAAATCTTTTGCCTTCCCAGTCTGCCTTCTATTTCTTCTGCATATGGGAAAAGTAACAGAACGACCAGTTGTGTAGTGATAATGCATTGAATTCACAGCAATAACGAACACACAAATTCCAGTGCAATAGTCGCCGTTAAAATATGTCCTCTAAATGATACTGTTTCGCATTGAAATCCACAATGAAACTATTATTTAAGTGCTAATTCAATGTGAAGTTAAAATTACTTGATATACGTTCACTTCTATACTGAAAAGAATGTAATGTATCTGTTATTTAGTTTATTGACACGCCAATACTTTCATTTATCCGTCTGTGGCTTAGTGTTAAAACACTGGCTACCCATGTAAGTGCTCCGGGACTCGATCCTTGGCCAACACACTCCTTTTTTACCTGGCTAAGCTGCTATTAAGCCTGGCAAAGAAGGAAGGTTGAGCATAAGGCTAGCATTCCCACTGGTACTTAAACTTCTAAGCTCTCGCTTGAGGCAGTATGTTCCACTGGGAACGAAAAATGAATCAAATAAAAATAAGTACTTTCATTTATTCTGTCTTCCGTTACATAAGGCATTCGGATATCTGAACCCAAGATGAGTGTTTTCATTTTATATAGGGTTATACATCATTTGTTTTAGATCGTGCCCAATTCAACATTGATCACTGGATTGAAACTCTACATACCTGACAACATGGAGTTTGTTTGTCTGTTATCCGCCCGCAAACATGAGGACTAAGGGTCAACAAAAGGCTTACAGAATGTCGAATGAATTTCGTCTATGCGTCGGTTGGATAGCGGTTAGGACGCTCGCCGACCATGCACATGGTTCGGGCCACAGGACGTACTCCTTTACCTCGCTTCGCCAGAAATAATTCTGGTGAAGAGGAAAGGTTGGGCGTGAGGCTAGCAACCTCATCCTGTAAAATTAAACACTGCTACAAAAACTCCAAGCCACTAGCCTGAAGACCTATGTTCCACTGGGGAACGTGAAGGAATAAAAAAACTTTTTTCAAGAGAAATTCAACTTTCTGCAAAACTGTTTATCAAGTAAATGAAGAAAATAAACGCAATAAACATATACGTTTTGTATACATACTATATTCAAAAGTCAACTGGATTGCTGAATATCAGTAAACATTTCCGGTTTTTGTTTGCTTGTCAATATCTAAGTGAGACTTATGTTTAGTTTTTATTAATTGAGTATTACTAACTACTTAGTCATATGACTCCATTTTGATTTGATTTGCTTTCATCTTGTCTTTGAGAAAAATTAAAATTTTTCTGATAATAATAATATACATATATGAAAGCGTTTTTTCTCATGAAATTTCCTTATCCTCACTTTACTGTTGCCAAGGCAACTGGTCTGTAAGAAGTAACCAAATTTATTCAGTAAATGGTGTGTGCGTATGTGTGTGTGTGTAAGTGAAATTTAGATAAATAGGGAGGTGTACTACTCACTGTGTGTGTGACTGCTACTCAAATCAGGCTATGGTTGACAGACTTATCAGTCTCTATCATCATTACCAAATAGTTTACTTTATTAATTAATAATTGCAACAAGGAATTAGTTACTTCAATATCAACCTATAGCATAGATAAGTTGATTTTCAGCAGAGTACATGCTGACTACTTTAAACCACGTAGACATACATAGACATCGTCTATGACGCTACTTACCTATATTTGATGCACTGACTTAATTTCAGTTTAAATTAAATATTAAAGTATCATTTGTCTTTCTCCCCATATTACAATAATCCATCTGTTTACTTATTTTATTTAATTTTCAAGTATTGGTTTTGTAGGGATTTTGTTTGATTGCATGGGAGATTTCGTCATGAGCTGACATCAGTTAGAGAACCATTGGAAAACCTGCAGGGAGTACTGGACAGCTGTTCCGTCCTAGTTCGGGACTCTTCATCAGTACGCACCCACCCGAGGTTCGAGCCAAGTACCTTCTGGTTGCAAGGCGACCTCGTAGACCATTAAGCCACTGGGACTCTATCCAATGGCCAGCCCAAGAATTCTAACTTCTGTCAATTCACGACATACTGCGGCCATTTCGATGAGTTACTACCTTATCTTCAACCTGCTCTACCCTACTCGTCACGGCTTCCCACTAGAACACCATGTCGCTGCCTGAATAAGGCCAGTCGCTAGTGAGCTTGTGACCTGGGGTTCTAGTGGGAAATCGTGAGCAGTAGGGTAGAGCAGGTTGAAGATAAGGCAGTAACTCATCGAAGAAGACATTGCGAAATGGTCGCGATATGTCATGAAATGGCAGAAGTTAGAATTCATGGGCCATTGAATCAGGTCCCAGTGGCTCAATGGTCCACGAGGTCGCCTAGTAACCAGAAGGTCCTTGGTTCAAACCGCGGTGGGTGAGTACTGCTGAAGAGTCCCAAACTAGGACGGAACAGTTGTCAAGTACTCCCAGGTTTTCCAGTAGTTCTCTGACTGATGTCAGCTCATGTTCAAATCCTCCATATTTATTTTAAAACAAGTGTAGGAAAAACAAGACAGATATTCATTATTCTGAAATTAATGTGGAGATATACAGTACTCAACACAACGAACAAGATCCGAATTTTTAACAGTGTTATATGCCTCCAAAATTGGCGAGTTACCAAAATCAGTGCTTACCTTTACCGTGTTAACTGTCCTTTTAGTGTCGCTGAGTAACAGTTGTTCTCACTATGGACACAAATTTCATTTCATAAAGTCACCATACTGCAAATTCTAATTAATAGAACTTTAAGTCCAATGAGGAATAGTGCTAATTATCACCGAACAAATCAAGATGTTAATTAACTTATTTCTTCTAATTATCAGTCCTAGAGGATCCAGCTAAATGCCTCGGATCACTGTTTCATGACTCATTCTGTAAATGGCATCAATTTTCCTAAAGATTTTTGATACATGTTTGATATGAATATCAGTAAGCACGAAATCTAGATCCTGTCAGCTTCATGAATCCATCGAACCTTCTAATCTTGCCTACTAAAGTGGTTGTCAGTGTGATATTTACAAAAAACTAATACATATTTGTAGGTATAGTAACACATAACAAAAGAAATTATAAATGTAAAATTTTTTTCTGTCTCTTCATTAGTATCATTTTGTCTTCTCAATTGTAATATTTTGCATTTTCAACCTTCTTGTTCTCTACCCCCACCCTATTTAATTTCTACACTTCACTACCGCTGTTACCGACTTGACCAACGCTCACAATTTCTAGTCATTTATGTTATGTCGTCCAACTTATTTGCTACATTTTAGTTCTAATTTAAATGGCATTAAGCATTCTCTACCCCACTTCTACTTCTACTTCTACTTGGTCTCTACCTGCAATTACCTCTGTTGCTACCCTGACCTAAGTTGAAGCATTTTAGTCAGTTATATTACTTTATCTAACTTACTAACTCAATCTTACTTTAGTTGCCGTCCAATTAACCTTGTTTCTATATTAGATCATTCTTTTATTACCTGATCAATTGTCTAAACTTGACAAACCTCATGTATACACACACACACAAATAATGATATATAAATGTGATTGTACAGCAATGTGAATGAATTCGTTGAAAAGAGTCTCTTCGCTGAACGTCTCCTCTTTTTCATATAAAATTAAACTTATTTGTTATATAAGTCAATTCAAGAAAAAAAACCTACTTATCAAACTTTTTGAGAGAAATCCAGTAACTATCGTGGCACAATCTAAAGCTTGCTGACCAACTGTACGAATGATTAATGTATCAAGCGTCAGTTACAAAAGACTTTGAGCCCACATTTCGCTATTATTTGAATGGTCAAGAAGGTGATGTTACCTCGGAGATTTAAACCAACTATACACTATGTCAATATATACTGACGTGTAGCAATAAGCTTAAACACAAAGGTCAAAGTGAAACTCCACTACTAGTTAATAGTTACATATTGATCAAGTTGTGGACAATTTATTATTTGCTTACGTGTGATTCAGCAACAAGATGAGCTTTTTTCTCATTCAACAACTGAATATCCATTTGTGAACCATTACGATTTAGTTCAGCTTCAAGTTTAGAGATTTGATTGAACTTATTTTCAATAATCTCCAATTGTTCATTCAATGTAGGCTTTCTTATACCATCTGAACTCGACGTTCTACGATCCTTCAGTTTACTTTGTTGTTCTTTGAAATGATCATACACTGGAGTTGGTTTTTCTTCAAGATATTGAAGTTTTGTCTGTTTAATCCTAAGTTTAGAATGCATGAATAAGAATGAACATGTAGGTTGTAACACTAATTGATTCAACACTACAAAAGTAAATAAAGTGAAAAGAAAATTCTCTGAACATGTTAGTTTCATCAGTGAATTTTGATTAATTAATTGGAAGACTATGTTTCACACAGTGTACCCATTGATAATGCAACAGTTTCATTTGGTTTCTTTTAGATATTTCAATGTGATAAAGCAGACAGTTAAGGCAAATATTTATAATAATAAAATATAATAATTATGTACGAATTAAATAAAATTACAGTATCAACTGGTCTGATGTTGTTTCACAGCTTCTAATCGTCTACAAACTACTTAAAACCATCAGAGTTATCAAAAAACAGAAAAATAAGGTACATCAAAGTGATTTTACTTCATGTTGAGAATTCGATCTGTTTAGCTTTTTCTAAAATTTATCTAGGGTACCAGCACATCTATAAGTTAAATACCTTTATCTCAATTTGGTTATCAAAACGCAAAACATAATAGTTATACGAGAGGAAACCTATTTCCAAATGAATAATTGAAAAAAAATTAGATTCCAGGTTGATCACGAAGTGCTTTTACTTAGAGATAACGATCGGAAACCAGAAAGTAGCTGACAGCTGTTTTGTCCTCGTTTGGGTCTCTTTTACAGTATGCACCCATGATTATTATTATTATTATTGTACCCTTTAGTTCCTAGAGGAACATAGGGCTTCAGCCACCCTTCTCCATTGCCTTCGGTTTTCTGACAACTTTTTCACCCTGCTCCAGGTATGTCCACATGCTTTCATCTCCTCCTCGCATGACCTCCTCCAAGTCACCCTTGGACGACCAACTCGCCGCCTCCCTTTCGGGTTCCACTCGAGGGCTTGTCTAGTGATGTCACTTGATGGTTTCCTCAGAGTATGACCAGCCAATCCATCTCCATTCCTTCATACCTATTTGTTTCACAATCGGTTCCTGATTGGTTCGCTCCCAGAGATCCCTGTTGCTGATCTCTTCTGGCCGGCCATCTGATATTGAGTATTGAGCGGAGACAGCTGTTAATGAAGGTTTGAAGTTTGTTTGAGATGCTCTTTATGACTCGTCAAGTCTCTGATCCGTATAGTAGCACTGACCTCACATTGGAGTTGAAAATCCGGATGTTATTTTTGATGCTGAGTGCTGTTGACCTCCACAGAGACTTGAGAGTAATGAAAGCTTGTCTTGCTTTTCCGATTCTGGCTTCGATGTCCTCGTCAGTTCCGCCTGTAGTTGAGACGATGCTTCCCAGGTAGGTGAAGGAGGTTGTTTCTTTCAGGTTCTTCCCACTTATGCTGATTGTTGTCTGTTGTTGTTGTTGCTGTTGGTGTTGGCCAGGAATCTTCATCGCCTCTGTTTTATCTATGTTCGCGTGAAGTCCTATCTTTGATGCTTCTTCTGCCAACTTGTTACTTTTCACTTGCATATCTTCCAGTTTATGGGAAATCAGACATATATCATCGGCGAAATCCAGATCCTCCAAGTCTTTTGTGTCAGTCCATTTTATGCCTGTTCCCTCGTTGGTTGCCGTTGTCTGTCGCATTATCCAATCAATTGCAATCAGGAAGATCATTGGTGATAGTAGACAGCCTTTCCTCACTCCCGTCCTCACTTCGAAGGCCTCCGTAACTTTCCCGTTGTGGATTACTTGGCATGCAGCATTGTCGTATAACTGTTGGATGAGATGTATAATTGTTGATGGCACCCCGTAGTAGCGAAGTAGTTGCCAAATGACCTCTCGATCGACTCTGTCGAATGCCTTTTCAAAGTCGATGAAGTTGAGTGAGGTGGAGAGGTGACTGCCATTCCAAGCTTTGTTCAATGATGATCCGTAGAGTGGCGATTTTATCAATACATGATTTGTTTCTCCTGAATCTGGCCTGTTCCGGTCGAAGATTTTCATCCAGGGTGGCGTGTTTGATTCTCTCCAGGATGATGCGGCTTAGTATTTTGCTTGGGATGGACAGTAGCATAATTCCGCGCCAGTTTTTGCATTGACTTAAGTCTCCTTTCTTTGGTAGTTTGAATAAGTATCCTTTCTTCCAATCCTCGGGTACTTTGCCCTCTTTCCGCACCTTCTCCAGCAGTGGCGTCATCAAGTCCGCCGTTGTCTCTGAGTCTGTTTTCAGAGCTTCTGGTGGGATTCCATCTGGTCCTGCTACTTTTTCAGCTTTTAGCATCTTGATGGCATTCAGGACTTCTGATTTCGTCGGGGGGTCAGTATTCACTGGTGGTTGTGCTTCCGTTGTTGATATTGTTGGGCGCGTTGTAGGCGGCGGACGATTTAGAAGTCTTTTGAAGTGTTCAGCCCAGTGCTTTCTCTGTTCCACCTCTTTGGTGATTGACTTTCCATTGTCATCCTTTATTTATGCACCCATGATGCCACCAGGGATTGAACCCAGGCCCTTCAAGCTACAAGACCGGTGAGTATACCATTGTACCACTAAGACGCAATTCCGTTTGTCGTCAGCTTCTCATACGTGAGCTCGCCTTGTAACCTAGAGATCCGGGATTCTGCCCCTGATGGATTCATGGGTAGACACTGTGAAGAGTACCAAACAAGGACGAAATATCTGTCCAGTACTCCATTGTTTTTGATGGTTTTTTCATTGAAGTCGTTTCGTGATCATTCTTGAAATCAATCGAACTCCTGCAAACCAACACTTAAAAAGAACTAGAGTTATATAATAATAATAATAATGATTTACTTTATTCCAAAAACAGTACTTGTGATACAGATTGGAATTTTCAGCATTAATCACAATATTGCATCTAATTTCCTCAAATTATAAATAAAATTAATCACACAGAAAATTTTCCACATTTACAATAGAGGTAGTGTCAAAAACATGCAGCATATAAAATGGAAATAGCAATAATAATGATAACAGCTAGGGTAATAATAATAAGAATACAAGTGAAAATTGCCGTTGGCTTGTGTCACACAGTATTGGCAATGTGGTATAGAAATCCTAACATGTTTAAAAATATTGAATATAATGTTCTCTTTACATGATATGGTGAGGGGAAAAACAAAGATTACAGCCGTCATGGAGATAAGTTGGTGTTTGCAATTATGAGAGTAAAACAGAGAATTAACAGGACCATAAATATAATAGAAGTAATAAAAGTAAAACTTGAAGGTATGTAAGGATGGATGGAGGAAATTGTTTATTTACTAGATGAAAGAAGGTTAGTTAATTCTTGCCTGACACTATTTTCATCACATAAAATACGTGCCAAGTATGGTATCATAGAATTCTTATACTTAGACGTGCGAGCATACAGTTTTCTGAAGTTACTCCTTGTTCTACCTGAGGAGATGCAAGGTGAAAGCTGAGGGTAAAGCGGATGCTCCAAGTCAGACAAAATCCCTTTAGCAAATTTATTGCACGAAGTCAAATGCCTATCGACAACGACGTTAACTATGTGGTCCACTGGGACACCACTCACTCTACTGACAGTCTTCAGTATTCTACGAATTGTGACATAGTCTTTTTTAAGCAAACCAGGAAAGAATAAGGGTGAGCAATAAAGAAGAATAGGTAGGATGCAAGAGTTTACGAACTGTAGGATGAGGGGTTGAGTTATACCCGAGTGTCTTAACTTCTTAATGTAAAATGTCAAGCGGAATATTTTACTGGAGATTGCTAAGACATGGGAAGACCAGGAGAGATCAGAAGAGAGAATGAGTCCAAGATACTTAATTTCTGATTTGATTCCTATATCATTGTCGTCAATTTTACAAGTGTCATGAGAATCGATGACTTCTTTTAACTGTCGTTTACATCTTAAGCTGAAATCAACAGTTTGACACTTAGAAGGATTCAGTTTAAGACCGTTAGACTCAGACCATTTGCTGACTTCCGATAGAAAGCTATTTATTTTAGTACAATCTAGCTGGGAGTTAACAGCCATTGAAACCGTTAAATCATCAGCATACTTCACAAAGTTTATTTCATCAGAGTGAGGCAAGTCGTGCAAGAAGAAAGAAAAAAGAAAAGGAGAAAGAACAGCATATGAATCTTAAGGATTTTGTTTCAACTCCAAATAGCATTGAAAGAAGTCTGAAGGTTAATCGTGAGTATAATATTTACATATCATTATCTTTTAATAAGCCAGGATGAATAAATACTTTTAAACTGTACTTATCTGCCATCTTAGCAATCAGCCACTATTAAATTATGTTGACAGGTATGTCAAACCATATATCCACTGCATATTCCTGACTAGTCATTTAGTATATGCGCTGAGGTGGTAAATACAATGGTGAGAAAAAGAAAAGTTACTTTTGAGATTAGTTGATCAGAGGTGGTGACCTAATGAATACTAATTTAAATAATATCCTTGGTTGGGATTTCTTTCATCTTCAAATGACTTTTTTGTGTGCGGAGATCTATTCAATAACCGCAGCTGTTTTATTCAGTAAGCCTGATTCACTCTCTGCTTATAAACTTAATATTCAGTTTACCGGTGAACAGGATGTTAGGAATAAACTGATTCCCTAGAATACTCTTTTTTGCTTTCTTCAGATTGATTGTTATCTGATAGATTTACAGAGATAATTTAGCCTATAAGAAAGAAAATTGTAAAATTCCGATAAAGAAAGGAAGATGAAATATGCAGGATAAAATGATATCATTCTATTTCACAGGTTCTCATCAGCTAACTGCAAACTACCCGAAATTACAATGGTTATATAAATGATAATAACATGCTTTTAAAGTTTAAGTGGCAATAGAGAAGAAATACTGTAAAACTGATGCATCCAAAATATAAGCATTACAATTTTAGTTTAAGTTTTCATCACCAATCTATACGCTTTTTCAGTCCTTCAAAATATTAAATAGACAAAGGACAGTAAGTTTACTACGATTTGCCAAAGCGATCACAGTCAAACGATTCAAACCAGACTTATGCATACAGAAAGAGAGTGTGATTAATCTCTCACTCCCTTGGTAACTGAATTTT